AGGTTCTCAATTCGACTGCATGTTGTTTTCTTTTTTTGTAGGGGAAGTCCCTTAGTGGCGGACACTTAAGGTTTTCAGACATTAAATAAAAAACTGGTTCTGGAAATGTAACTTTGTTAATTAATTAACTATCTCAACAAAATTTAAAATCAAAATAAATCAACTAAAATAGAACCTCTCTATAAACAGATTTAAAAATTTAAATGAAACTTTAGTAACAAAAATGACTGTAACTGCAACTGGCACCTAGTACCGGACAGTCTTAACTTCAAACCCCCAGCGCCGGACATCTTTAAAACATCGTGCATCGATCGCATATGTAGTTTTCTGAACATTCAGGGATGTCTGCACATACTTCATGAGCCCACCCACGGCAGCTGGAGCACTGTATCCAGTCTTCGTCGTGGTCCTCTAAGCAAACTACACAAGTTGTTCCTATGTTAGACGTTTGAGTTAATGGTTCCTTTTTCTTTGCTTTGTCTCCACTATTTCCTTTGGCCTTTACTCCTTTAGTCTGTTTCCCTTTATTTCTTGTCGCTGTTCTGAACTTTCTTCCTATTTCTTTCTTTTTGTCATTAAGGGCTTTTTCATTCTCTTTTTCTTCAACAGCAATTTTGTATGGCGATGAAGTTAAGATTTCACTTTTTTCACCTTTTCTTTTCCGAGTAACTGAACGTTTTTTGGTAGCATCTGGCAATGGCGATAAATTATGGACAATTTGGACAATATCTGGATCAAGTGTAGCCAATGGCTTTGAACTGCTGATTGGTTTGCTTGTTGCTGATTCTGCATTAGGTTCTTCGGGTTCTTCTGAAACCAAATTGTTGTGCAATTCGGCATCGTACGTCGAAGATGAACTATTAGCAAAAGCAGTGGAAGACACAGTTATTTCTCTGCTACAACCTGGTGCGTTTGAGGTAGTTCCTGGTTCTTTAAGTGGAATGTTGGTCATATCTGCAGGCAAATAATCCAGATCAGAAAATATATTTCTGTTAAATGGAAGAATTCCGGTGCATTTGAACCCAGATACCGCAATATCCAGCCGAGCGACTTTTGTGAACGCTTCATTCACCAGACCGGTAATATCGTAGTCGGTTATTCGAGATCCAGGATTTGCTCTCATCCACATGTCGCATTGTTGGTTATAGGCATCTTTAAATGGCTTCATAAATGTTCTGTCCAGTGGTTGCAGTTTGTGAGTGGTGTGCGGTGGTGAGCTTATCAAATGAATGTGGTTTTGTCGGCAAAAATTGATGACCTCTAGTGTCTTGTGGCTACAATGTCCATCCAGTAGAATGAGCACAGGGCTCTCTTTTGTCGGGCGTGAATGTTTAATGAATAGCTGCAGCCATTGAAGGAAAAAATCTTTATTCATCCAGCCTTTTGGCTGGGCCACGCCTACGCTTTCAGCTGGAGCATTAATCATGAGCCGATCATTCATCCTCTGTCTGGGAAAGACAAAAAATGGCGGTATGAAGTGGCCATTGGCACTCATGCAGAACAAAACTGTTATATTTTTGCCCCTCTCAGCAGAAGCGAGCTTTCCTACTTGACGAGCAGCTTTCCGAGCAAGAACCTTATGATGTTTTTGCACACAGCTGATACCAGTTTCATCACAGTTGTAAATGCTAGAGGGTGCAAATTTATATTGTGTCATCATTCTTTCCAGGTTGTCATAAAAAAGATCCACTTGTGGTTTGTTAAACCCTATAGCACGCATCATGCTCGTCGACTCCGGTGTTCTCAACGATATGTCAGGATGTCTTTGCATGAAATCGTAGTAAAAGTGCTTACCTGCAGCACCTTTCTCTTTGTTAAATCGGTGAGGGATCTTCAAAGCTTCAGCCAAGTCGAAAGCTAACTTCAGAAACTCCTTTCTCATTAGCGGCATACATCTATTAGATAAGTCCTTTACATGTTCCACTAAAACAGCTTCGTACTCGGGTGAGAAGGTGTTGGTGAATCTACCGATTTTTGGCAGTAACGTCACTTCTTGTCCACGGTTCAATAACGATGTTCTATCATGTAGAGTGCTTTTTGGAACGTTGTAGCGCAACGAAGCCTCTCTCAAACTCATTTGTTTAGACAAAACCTTGTCTATCGCAGTTTGTAAACTATTTTGATCCCATTTTCCTTTCTTATTCGTCTCTTCCATTTCAATTTCCCTCTGTTCTTCTATCGTCTAAAACAAGATACAATAATTATTACAAAACATATGAATTTTTACGAAAAAACACATGTGTTTACTGTCCGACGTTAAGGGACTACTTTGTGTCCGGTACTAGGGGACAAAGAATTTTCAGAATTACGTATTTCATAGCAAAACTTTAAAAAAATTTACAATAATTTTCAGAAACTTCGAATACTTATGAAACACTACATATAATAACAATTACCATAAATACTTAAACACAAAAACATAGCAGTAATACTCACTTTGATTTTACGTGACGCAGTGTGTTCCCGCCAAAAGCTACAATCGCCCGCTCCTACCTCGATCTCGTGCGTCACTGGCAAACGGCGTTTCCCGATCCAGTATCGTTACGTTCCCCCGCACCCCTTTCAACTGTTTTTTGATCGAACGCGTTGCGACATGTCAAGATAATACAAGTGTCCGACGCTAGGTGCTGTCCGGCGTTAGGGGACTTCCCCCTATGTTACGCGATAACTCCGGTATTTGTGAACCGATTTTCATTTTTTTTTTGTTGGAAAGAGGGTACCTCCATAGTGGTCCTATTTAATTTTGACGAAAATCATCCACCTCTACGGGTCAATAAAAAGATCAATTTTTATTCATATACATTTTAACAAGAATAGCCGGATTTCATTATCTAAGTAAGTATGTTGAATTAAAACGAATAACTTTAAAGTAAGTTTCCTCTTTGAATTTTTCATAAACGTAGTTCTAAATATAGTGTATAACTGCCGGACTGCCACGCAGAGGTCCCAAGTTCGACCAGGCCGGGAGAAATATTTGTATGGCCTACATTTATTTCTCTCGTGAGTTTGGGTGTAATTTGTGGTTGTCCATGGCACCCGCGACACAGAGATTCCCTAGTGCGGGGCTATGTTGAGTGTGTGTGTTGTTATTATTATTATTATAAATAGCGCCTACATTTTATTATAAGAAGCAATTATTTTAATGGTTGATTTTGCTATTCTCCAATTCAAGGCGTTTTTCTCTCTCAATACACTTAGAGCAGTGAGAAACGATTTTTATTATCTCCTGTGTCAAGTTTGCGCACTTTCCGGTAACCGTGAACGGAAATCGTGGAGTTCCACGTACTTTTGAGATCGGTTTTTTTTAGTATTCTGTGTCGAGATTATCGTTTAGTAACTTCAACTTTTGACAAATGTCAACGCCAAATTTGGAAGAATAAAGAAAAAATATTGGAAAAATATCCCGAGAAACCATTGACTTAACAATTATATGGACGTCAGGTCCGCGCTAAAAAGTGTCCGAACTTATAGGGCGTTAAAATCATATACAGAGCGTCATTCACGCTTTAGTCTTCGTTTGTTCGACTGACAGCGAAGCAAGCAAAATTAGACAGTACTGCGATGACATTACAATTTAAATTCAACGTTTTAGCTTTTTCATATTCCTTTACATGTCACTGCGTTTAAATAGGTTGACTTGGGACATTTTTTTCGTGGTTTTTGTATTAGACCCGTCGTCCATTTATTTGTAAGTCAATGGGAGAAATACTTATTTTTCTGACAAATTTTTTTTTTTCAATTCGGAAATTTTTCCACTGCGGCAGGTTAAAAAGGATAGCAATACAAATGCTAAAGGAAATGACGTTGAAATTAACCTAAGCGCCGTCTACCTTGACACAGGCGCGAACAAATCTCTAAGTCTTAAAACTTAATCGATGACGTCACAATGTTGTCACGTTTAATATACTACCGTCTACTAATTAAAACGCGACTAAGTGACAAATGGTCAAATAAAGTAAATAAATATATCAAATAAATAAAAAAAAATTAAAAAAAAATAAAGCACAAAATTATATTTTAAAAACAGTTAAAATTAGTTAACGTGTTCGACTTATCGGAACCTTTTTTTTTTGCCCCGAGGGGGCAGAGCCGGGGTTATGTGGGACTAGGCTGAACCCTGAAGGGGAGCAGCAACCGCACTAAACCCCCGGAGTGTTCCTCCTCTCCGCTGTAGGTGGGGGTACGAGTACGCTGTTGCACTCGTCCGCGCCCCCACCACCGTCTGGCCGCGCCTTGCGCAGCCCCTCCCCGAGAAGGGAGACACATCGGTCCCCCGACTCCGAATGTAAGGCTCGCCGAACACCAGACGAGCCTTCCATCCCGGGCCCCTTTATGCTGGGCAACGAACTCCCCCGAGTCCGCTACCCAGGGGCCATAGGGGGCCAGGACAGCATCCACTCAACTGTGAAATTCAGTGGCTGCTCCCCCAGCCCCCGCGGCGGATCTGATGGCAGGCTCCGCCGCAAACACCTAACGCGCTTCCGCGCGGACTCTCCGAAGAGAGTGCCTTGGAGCGCCCACCACGGGCCAACCGCCCACGTACGGCCGCGGAGGATAGGACGAGCGGCAACGACACACCGACACGTCTGTTCCCCGCGACTCTCCTCCTCGCGCATCCGCGCGGTCCCGCTGACCAGACGAGCCCCGCGCGGAACGCCCTCCTCCTCGGGCCAGCCTACCACCATCGGCCGGCCCCATGGGTTCCTCTTAGCTTCACCGTGGGATGAAATCGACCACGGCTACTAGAGCCCCCCCGCCACGACAAGGCGGGAACCCCTTCGGGGGGGCGACTTATCGGAACCTACCCTAACGATGCGTAATAATATAATATTTTATAATAATAAAAAAATATAACATAATATAAAATAATAAAAACGATGCTGAAGTATCATTAAACAATTTCAATATTCTAAAACTGGGTTATGTTTTTTTTATGATATCTCTAAAAAAGGATTTTGTTAGCGGACGGCAGTATATAGCTCGACATAAAATAAAAGTACCTGTCAGATGATTCCCAGTGAATTCGAAGTCGTCGTCCTGGTCCCAATGCTTCAGCGACAGGTTACCCAGCGGCGTGGCGTTCGCGAACTCTAGGTTGGCGAAATGCCAGTCCAGGATTTGTCTGTCACGAACTGACAGATACACTGAACTGAACAAAAAAAAAATACCTAAACTGTACTAAGCCGTGTTGACAATAGGCAGAAACTTGATAAAGAACATATCATGCGGGATTCTCTGTAAAATACTTATAAATTTCGCAAGACTATATTACTAACACCACAAATAACACCTTTCATTCTACGGCTTTTAATAATTCATAAATTTTTATTTTCGTACAAAAGTAAAAATATTTAAATAGATCGCTCTAAATGGTGATAACTCTGTGCTGTAACAAAAGAAAGTGTGTATACCACATCGTATGTGTATATAACATCGGGGAGGACGCTTGCACGTTTGAACTTACTTTTCATTTTTATTCACAACACTCAAACCGAACGTCAAACTATCGTATTCGAAACCGAACCGTAATGACGTCACACCCGTACGATTACTCGAACTTCTCGACCGGCAAAGGCTACAAACATTATTCAGAACATAGTTATCGAATAAAAGTTACCGAACGTCCTATTGTTTACAAAGCAAGAATGTAGTATGGAAATCTCTTATTATTTTAAATTATGTCTGGATTTTGTTCAATTTTATTAATTTATTTTAATGCAAGACTAATATAATTTAATATAAATGCCTCAAAGTCTTAAAAATGTATATAAAAGGATTTTCATTTTTCTTGTAATCTATTTCACCGACTAACTCCGTAAACGCTGTTGGATAACGATATCGTATTCGAATCCGAATCGAACGTTAACTCGAATGTTCTGAATCGCTCTTAGGGCGCCCTTCGATTCGAGGACGATATACGATCGAACGATTCAATGAAAATATGGAAGAGTTCTGAATCGGGGTCCTGCATACGAAGGTTCATTACATGTCCATCACTATATTTTCCTTTGGTTCTAAATAATGCTGTTCAATAATCCTTTTCGATTATAAAAAAACAAAATCGAGTGCCTAATTGAAATTTTAATTTCTGATTGGTTATTTAAATTTGAGTTAATCAATAACAATAGGTTCATTCAAGTTGCGCAAAAATTACACTTACCTCGGTGGATTAGATTCCAGCTGCGTCAGTTTATCTTCAATGCTATTATTTTGCGAAACGAAAGTCTCGTATTCGTTGCACAGTTGATTCATTTCGCGATTCAATCGTCGTAAATTGAATTCTTGGAGGACACTGGCATCGCCAGTTGTGCCTTTTTCTCTATCGGTTAATAATGATTCCTTTTCGGCTTTCATTGATCTTAGTAGTTCTTTTATGTCAGTCATTCTGTGGAAAAAAGTTTAACATTTAAGTGTCGACCTAAAGTTAGTATAGATATTAATAGACTGCGAAAAACGAGAGGATAAACACCCACCGTACTCATGGATTTGAAGTATTACTCCAATGCAAGCTTTAGCTTTACAAGCAAGTGCTCAGTCAGTAACTTTGAGTCAACTTTATTGGCTTTATGCCCTATAAGTACGTAATCTATGTATTGAGTTAGACGCAAGGAATGTAAAGTATATATGGAGTCACTTACTTGTTTACATTTGTTTTTATTTTTTCTTGCAATGTTATTACTGCTTTTAGATGTTGTATCTGTAAAGATGAAAAACTTATTTACAAGATTAATTTTATTGATATTAAGACTAAACCATAGTTTACCTAATATTACTAAACAATGTAAAGGCAGATGTAGAAGGCAAATATTATTAAGGCCCTCATATATAGACTATACCTCGTTACGATCTATCGACACGTTAATCGCATTGATCCGTTGTTACTCCCCTGGAGCGGTATTCTGTAATCGTTGAGACTCGCTATTCGATATTCGTTATGCGGTTTTACCGACGGTATCGATTTTGTCGACAAATGCTATCCTGTACACTACTTTAACCGATCATAACGACAACTCGGTTCGATACGTGCGTTAAGTTTCGTTAAGATTCGATATTTTTTATCGGCTCTTCGAGAGCACCCTGTTTACGTCGGTATTCTTAACGACGCACTTTCTTCTTACATTTCACTGTTAGATATTTGTGTTTTGATCGCATAAGTAGAAAAAATTCACTCACAAAATGTTTTGTAATTGAAAGTGACTTGTTCTTGTCTGTGTGTTGTAATCACTTGTTTACATAGATTTAGAATATAGGTGCCTATACTAAATCTATGCTTATTTATGTCGCGATTGTAGACGTTAAGGTGAAAAATAAAGGAAATATTTACATAACTGCAATTTGCTTATTTGTCGTGATGCATTATTTTTAACCGACTTCAAAAAAGGAGGAGGTTCTCAATTCGACTGTATGTTCTTTTTTGTATGTATGTTACGTGATAACTCCGGTATTTGTGAACCGATTTTCATGATTCTTTTTTGTTGGAAAGGGGGTACTTCCATAGTGGTACCATTTCATTTTGAAGAAAATCATCCGCCTCGAAGGGTGGCTGTTCACGCATGAAGATTCATTTTTATAATAATAATAATAATAATAATAACGCACACACTCAACATAGCCTCGCACTAGGGAAATCCTGTGTCGCGGGTGCTATGGACACACACATAGACAACCACAAATTACACCCAAACTCACGAGAGAAATAAATGTAGGCCGTATAAATATTTCTCCCGGCCCGGGAATCAAACCTGGGACCTCTGCGTGGCAGTCCGGCACGGTAACCGTTCGGCCACGGAAGCATTTTTATAAATAGCGCCTAACTTTAATTTAGAAGCAATTACTTTAATGATTGATTTTGCTATTTCTCCAATTCAAGGCGTTTTTCGCTCAATATACATTGAGTAGTGACAACCGATTTTTATTATCTCCAGTGTCAAGTCCTGTATGGTGGGGAACTAGGAGATATTTCAATAAAACTTAGCAAGTAGACGTAATTCCACGTACTTTTGAGGTCGGTATTTTTAGTACTCTGTACTGAGATTATATCATAACAGTACGTTTCCCTTGAATGTCACAAACATTGCACAAACCTTAAAGGCTGGAAAAAAATTAAACCACAGTCAAAGGCACAAACTAAATAACCATAGATAAGAGTATTTGTAAATAACTATTTGAACGCTCGATCGTGATTGGTCGAGAAACATAGCCTACCGTCGGGATGTTCCCAATTCGTCTTTTTTTCGATGATGAAACGCTGACCTCACATCGCTGTCGGTACGCGTCAGTTGCAGCAACGATTTTCGTTATGGTGGACTTACAGAATAGCATAATCGGTAAGTTGTCGATACGGCAACAGACGACTTTCGCTATCAGAGCCATACCGAATCATAATGATAGCCATTACAGAATACCGCTCCTGGCGTTCAAGTTAATCGTTAACGACAAAAACATTCAATTTGTCGTTTCGATCAGTCTGAAATGACGGTTCGTGAAGACATATCGTCCTGTGCATGAGGGAATTTAAAACGAGAAAGGTATTAGACAAACTACCCTGCCATATTCATAAAAGCTTAAAACATTTTGAAATATGTTGTATAGTACCTGCTTATGTTTAACATTCTTCTGTTGTAATTTAATGACCCACTCCAAAGCTTGTCCCAAAGAGACTGGAGTATCGTTGTAATAATTAAAATCCACTTGATGGGACAAATAGGAAGTAGCATCAAGAAGCCTGTTGAATTCACGTTCCACCTAAAACAAAATTTTGACTTCTGACCTACCTTGTTTAAAAACAGACATGATGATATGTAGGCAAGTATGTGTACACATGTACATAGAATTTATATACATTTCTATGTAAATAATACTCCAAAAAATATCCTATGAGCCGTGTAATTACAAGCTAAGTACGTTTCCACATTGCTTCTAATCCGTATCCGTTCCGAATCCGAGAATAGACAAATCTAGAAATCTCTGACCGACTTCGGATATCGCTTATGCAACGAATCAGAGAGTACGAATATCGCTTGTACACCTAGAGATTAATAGTAACTATTATTTTGTCCTTTCAGTCCGTCTGTCAACTTTTGGCATTATTATGTTATTACATGTGAAGACGCAGATGAAATAAAAATGAGTACCTACAACTTCTACTGTTAAACTGACTTTTCAGAGAAACAGTTTATAATAACAATGATGAACTTTTTTTTTATAGTGAATCATTTGCAATCAGTGCCACTATGTGCTGATAATCGGTTATGTCAACGCAGGCGAACTCTCCACTATAAGTTTCTTCCCCTTTATGTGCACACCACATTACTCCAACGGGAGTATGACTTTTCGTTTGAGCCTTTAGTTGTATCTGCAGATTGTCAACTGTTTTGCCAGTTCATTACGATGGTTCTCAAGGCTATTACGGTATTTACCATATTCATGTCCAGGTATTTGTGTATGTCCGAGTTTGTGACATACCAGGGTACATTAGCCATACTACGCAAGATAATGTTTTACATTCTTTGTAACATGGATATATTGGAGTTACAGGCGCTCCCCCATAGCTCCTCCATACTGGCTTCAGTGTTGATTTGTATATGTATACAAAATAGCAAGAAAATTTGTAGCTATTACAGAATTGGCGTGTCCACTTTTAATTTAATATATTACCATGTTCTATCAACTATCAAACTGAAACGATTTCAGGCCTCTCCAAGTAGCTTAGTGAAAACGTCAAAATTTCTACAATTTATTGAAAAACAGCTGCTCCCTACTCCACTTAGTACATAATGGCCTTAAGCTCGTATCAGCCTTACCATTTCATCTTTATGTTTAGGAACTTGATTGCCAGTGGCCTCATAAAGAGGACACTTCTGTTTAATTTTATGTAACTCCATGTTCATTTGAACAGAGAGAGTCGTCACTGGGTTACCACCTAATCCAGTAACCACCATGGCACCTGAAAGTGAGGAAACGACATTAAAATTGAAACCAAAAAGATAAATTAATAAAAGGTTAATTTTCCTTGCACAAATTATTAATTGTGGTATGATAGCAGTGGTTTCCTATGTAATAAGCAATTTTTGTAAGTCAATAATAAAAGCGCCCGCAATGTTAATTACAAATTTCCTTTGAACACAATGTTAGAATATTATTATTTATTTTTGTTTTATAATTAAATAAGTGCGCATTTGACCTCCATCTCACCTGATGGAAAGCGACGAAGAGGTCGACGATGTAGCATGCAAATTTAAATAGTGCCTATTCACTCTCGCCTTCAAAAGGCATTATTTTGTACTATTTTGACAACTTTAAGGGTATTTGAAGCAAGAAGAATACCTAAGTCAGCAACATAGGGGCCTTTTCGATAAGTACAGATGCGACCGCCAACTCTGTCTCTGCCCTCCAGTATTACAACTTCACAACCAAAGGATTGCAGTTGGCGAGCGGCCGCTAATCCGGATACTCCTAAAATAAGAAAGATGTTCATTGAATAGTCGTTTTTTCTTTAAACAATGTCAGCATGCCGATATCGCAGTGCGACAATGTGACCAAACAAAAATAATTTTATTACTTTTCTCAAACATGCCCGGAAATGTTCACTTTTCTTTTGAACAAAGAGCCTCGTCTTTGCCACAGTAAAAAAATTAAAAACAAATTTCTCCCCGGCCTTGGCCGCAAAATGTACAATATCGCACCTCCAGTGAAGCAGTGACTGAACTTACATTTGTAAAATTATATGTTATTATTATATTACAGAAAATTAATTAAAAATTTTGTATTTAGGGCTACTGAGCCCATTTGAAGGGCTCTTAAATGTTTATACTATTTCAATTCAATACGCTTTACGCCCTCTATAGGAAAATGAGGGAATCCGTACAGCGTCTCTGTTTCTTCATATAAATTGCGTTTTAAGTATGGTTTGGGATCACAATTTTTTGCAGTTAAGTCTGTGCTTTACAGGAGCTGCGATATGACGGTTTTCGGTCAATGTATGAGTTAAACGTTTTAGTACATTATTGCAGAGGCCGAGAAATAAAGGATGGCTAGACGAGTATGAGTTACAATAGTATGGTACTTTTATGTCAAAAATGTATTGTTGAGGATCCTACAGAGCTACCTCCAATCCAAAGTGGTGTATCGTTTAAAGTCTTGCAAAGGATTTCTGTATGTGACCATTCTGCCATAGACCAGCTCTGTTTAAACGTACCGCCATATTGTCGCCATAAATTTTACCTTGTGCACAGTTTTTTTGTGTTTTACTTTCCAGTTTTTTAGCATTTTTTTATATAATTTTTTCCATCCACAGCGATTTTTAAAACAGAATTAAAAACGTACACACGCAATGCGCTGAGTGCGTAGAGGGAGAATAAAAAAAAGAATAGAGAAGCTTCTCGCTTATACTGAGAAGGGATACCAACAGAGTACCTATAAATTCTGGGTTGTCTACTTTTAAAATTTTAGTAGCTGTAACTTTCTTACTTTTTCATTATAAATTATGTCTTCTCCTTATTTCTTTAGTCTTTTGTTATTTCCTCACATTGTTTGAGAAAAGCACAGCATGTACATTGACAGAAACAGGGATTGCCTGACACATGTAATACAAGGTAACTTATACTTGTCTGGCTAGTCCTTATTTCCATTTTACTGCAATAATGTCCCATTCGTTTTTTCTTATAATATATATATTAATTTAATGATTATTTATTTATTTATTTTCTCCACAAACATTACAGTTAGTTAAGAATTTAGATAATGTACACAGTCAAATTTATTGCAGTATGTTTGCAAGAGACTGGTTCCTAAACTAAGCCCAAGCCTAATATAGGTAACCAGGTCCCTCACCTCGGACAATAATTCGTACTTAAAACATTGTGAAAATATTGACCAAGAAATATAAATTAATGATATTTATTAATGGTAGTTCAAAAACAAATTTGTATGTATTAACTGGAACTAAATACTAATATTAAACTGAAATTAAAAACTAATTAATAATAAAAGAATTAAAAATAAAAATCAAAGTGTGTAGTGTTATATGTAGATGTGAGACAGAGCTCATTCATGCTATATAAAGAACAGAAAGAGGGTTGGGCTGCCAATGCTACCCTGAGGGATACCATATGTAATGGGGAGTTCATCGCTCAGGTAGTCTCCAAGTCTAACACGCTGTGTTCTATTTGTTAGGTAGTCCGTAAATAAACTCAGCTGGATTCCTCTAATGCCCATTTTGTTTAGCTTCTCTATGAAGCTTGGAACAGGCACCGTGTCGAACTCTTTGGCAAGGTCGATGAAGATACAGATACATTTCTTTTCACTGTCAAGTTCTCTAACCAAAAAATCTGTAAAGTCATGAACAGCATCATCTGTAGATCTGTGTCGTCTAAACCCGTACTAGCTCTTCGATAGAATGTGTTAGGTTTCCAGGAAATTGAGAAGTCTGTTATTGATAATACGTTCGAAAACTTTAGACAAGGAACTGAGAATAAATATAGGCCTATAGTTACTAGCACAGTGGCCGTCTCCTGGTTTATAGATTGGGTGTACTATGGATTTTTTGTAGGTATCTGGAAAGGTACCTGTATTGATGCACCGGTTTATAAGGTTGGTGAGCACTGGAGAAATAGAATGCACAATCTTTTTTAAACCTTCGACGAAATGCCGTCCCAGCCTAAGGAACAGTCTGATTTATTATTGAGAATAGTTCTTTCAATCTCTTCGTTGTCGACTTCAAGAAAAACAAATTAATTTATAGGTGTTGCTAAAGCGGTCCAGTAGTTTTTGAAAGGGGTGATATTAGTCGGGATATGATCAGCAAGCTTTTTACCTACTAAGGCAAAGTATTGATTAGCTATATTTGTAGAGGATTTCGGTGAATCACCAGCTTTTAGAAGTTCATGTGGGAATTTTTTTGCTTCTGTAAATAAGTAAAGGATTTTATAGCAGTCCATAGTTTTTTGGGGTTGTTCTTAGCTGTAATTAGTTGATCCCGTTTATATTGAATTTTTAATTTTTTGAGGAGGCCATTGCAAAAATTTCTATATCTCTTGTAAGTCACCTTTCCAAAAGTTTCATTGTTGGGGGACAACCTAATTTTCTTGTGCATAGAGTCTCTGTTTAAATAATTGTGTGTTATTTTTAATAATTTGTATAATATATCAATGAATAAGTTTCTGAATTTATTTAGATTATTTTCAGAATAAAAATGATTAAAGTCCATGTTAGAACATTCTGAGACAATACCATCCCAGTTCAACTTACCTGATATTTTATTGTTGGCTAATCTACAGATTTCTTTACCTTTTAGACAGAAAAGGATGGAAGTATGATCTGTTACAGTTGTTTGTAGGTTGAAGGTCATAACAGAAAGTTTTGTTTTTAATACTACATGGTCTAAGCAATTATTTTCACGAGTCGGAGTATCAATGGCTGGCAGAAGACTATAGAAGGATAACAAGTCCAGATATGAATTTACTTTGTTATCCGAGCCAAGTAAATTTATATTTATGTCTCCGATTAAAATAATATTAGTGAAGGTTGAGACACGCTCAAGTAAAAGGTCAAGAGAATGTAGGAAGGGTAAAATGTTTTGAAAAGAGGGTGGTCTATAAATGCTGATCACAACAGTCTCTCTCCCAAACTTCACCAAAAGACAGTTAGCTTCTGACAGTTTTGGCTCCTCTACTACATAATTCAGTTGACTTTTTATATACAACACCAAACCGTCATTTTGGTTATAATCGTCATTCGTTTTATAATACGTACAGCACGTCATTTCAGGAAGGCAGGCTATAGAGGAGAGCCAGCATTCAGATAAGGCAACGATATCACACTGAAATGATAATCTAGATAAAAGTAAGGTTAGTTTATCAAAATTATATCTAAGGCTGCATATATTTTACTGTATAATTTTTAATTGAGAATTGCAATTGCCAAGGTATCTACATCATTATCCAAAAATATCAAATTGTTCCAAGTTTGAAATTCATTCTAACAAATCATTTACAGAATCGAATTTTGTTTTTTAATGTAAAACAGATGGGTACAAAAGTAAGGTTAAAATAAACCATGGTTGTTATAGATACAGATTGAAAAATAAATATCCAGTAGGTATACGAGATTGAAGTATGATAGCATACAAGGTGATATGTGTGTTTTAGTGATTTAGTGTGCATACTGTTAGTGTGCGTAAATGTGAATAATGTTGTATATTTATGTAAGATGTATACAAAGTTATTATTTAAGCAAATAAAGTTGAAATCATTGCTATGATGGTAAGAAAATTGAGATATACTTTGTGATCGATGATACATAAAGCTTTCCTTTACAAATGTTAAGATGGTACATGTCACTAGGTATATAAACAAATAGTCAATTTTGTGGTAACTTTTTGAGATCATCTTCGTTATATATACATATATATATATATAAGACGATCTTAAAAAGTATATATATATAATTGAAGTTATAATTATTATAATTTAATTAAATTTTTATTGAATTGATATTCAATTATTTTTTTGTGAAATTACTTTTATTATATATAATTAGTTTGTTATAATTATTAATACAAAGATCGTCTTTCGAATTCGAAGATTCGTCGGTTCGAATCCGACCGGATCGAAGGAATTTTTTCTGAGTGTTCGATCTTTGTATTAATATTTATTATAATTTATTTTACTGAACCATTTAAGTTCTTATTTATGTATCACATTTATCCTTGAATTAAACTTTAAAAACTTTATTAGCTGTTATATAGCTGTATTGTGCTGTTTTACCTGCACCAATAATGATGACCTTTGGTCGCTGCTTTCCTTTTGGAGGAGAAGGAATAGGTGTGATCCTCTCATAGATTCCATAATTTATAAAACCATGACGGTCTAAAAATGCATGTGTTCTAATCACTAGGGCTGGATCCCCATTGTACGGTGCCTGGAATGGAAAGAAAAGCAAATTTTATCATTAAATTATAATAAGATGTGGTGTAGTGGACGATCTCGTATTTGGTCAGCAATGGAAGTTGCTCCTCGGGAATTGTCCTCAAAGTTGCTGGCAATAGAACAAAACAAAACCTCTATTTTGTTTCAGATAGTTATGGTTTAAAAAGCCTAACCACTTCAAGAAAATTTAAAGAGCGTAAGGATATCACAAATCCTTCTACTGAACGAACTATTGAGATTTCATGTGTGGAATTGGATCAGTTTGTCGTCTTATGTGTATACAGGCCCCCCTCTGCTAATTTTAACGAGTTTGAATTAATTATGGAAGACAGTTTAAAGCGGATTTTTCCAACCAAAAAAAACGTAGTAATATGTGCAGATTTCAATGTAAACCTGTTGGAAAACTGTTCTACTTCTGTAAGACTCATTAATTTATTTCAAAGTTTTAACTTGATTAATCTTTTTTTAGAACCAACTCGCATTACTGCCTCCTCTTCTACTTGTATTGATAACATCTTTTGTAACACAGACGCAGTGTCTAAACCAATAATAAATTGCTTAAGATCGGACCATAGTGGCCAATTGGCTTCTTTTAATTGTAAAATGAGCAAGAAGGTAGACCAATTTCTCTGTAGACCGATATCCACAGAACGCATAATTCGATTTCAAAATAATATCGGCAATAGTTTAAATTCCCTATCCCATATACCGGAGGATCCAAATACTTTATATAACACGATATTTAATTAAAAATGAATTTGACAATATATTTAAATCGAAAACATTAACTTTCCATAGAGAGACTAAATTCAACGACTGGGCAACAGTAGGTATTCATAAGAGTAGGTCTCGTTTGTATGAGCTATATGCTATGAAAACTTATAATACTAATTCCAATTTCATAGAATATGTTAGAATTTATTCGAAAATATTTAAAAAAGTTTGTGTAGCTGCTAAGGTTAAGTTTCACAGCGACATAAATTAGACAATAGATAAATAAATCTAAAACTACTTGGAGCATAATAAATAAAGAGTCAGGCAGGGTTAAACTACACGATAGAGATATAGTTTTAGAATTAGACAGCAAACTTATAAAATCTAAAGATAAAGTAGCCCAAGCTTTTGAATCGTTCTTTTCGGCAATTGCTGTGAACACTACAAAATCATTAAATTCCTCCTCTTCACTTGCTATTGATCTCCTAAAGGAAAATGTTAACGTTTGTGGCAGTTTATTTAATTTTCGTCATGTTAATCCACAAGACATCATAAAAGATTTTAAGTCAATACATGTTAAAAAAACTGAAGATCTCTGGGGCATATCAACTAAAGTTATAGACTCAGTTATTAATCTCATTTCCCCACAGTTAGCTGTAGCTTTCAATAGGTGCGATGACGAAGGTGTTCTTCCCGATTTAATGAAATACAGCAAGGTTATTCCCTTATTCAAAAGCGGTAGGAAAGTTGATCCTAGCAACTATAGGCCCATTTCAATTTTACCAGCTTTAAGTAAAATATTCGAAAAGGTTATGCTAACTCAATTACTGTCCTATTTCGGTAGGAATCATATTTTTCATAGTGAACAATACGGGTTTACTAGTGGTAGATCGACTAGCGATGCGGGGGTAGCGTTACTAAAACACATCTTTGATGCTTGGGAAAGGTCCCAGAACGCTATTGGTGTTTTCTGTGACCTCTCAAAGGCATTTGATTGCGTTGATCATAATACTCTTATTAGGAAGCTGCAACATTACGGTGTAAATGGCAAGGCGTCGAAACTTGTCTCATCATATCTCAACGGTAGAATTCAGAAAGTAGACATAAATGGAGTGACTTCTTTGGGTTCTCCAGTAAAAATGGGTGTACCGCAGGGCTCAATACTTGGACCTTTCTTATTTCTGATTTATATTAATGATCTGCCTTTCTTTGTTAAGGACCATTGCGAAATAGTGTTGTTTGCTGATGACACATCCTTGATTTTTAAAACAGACAGACATGACATTAACTACAACCGTATTAATGATACCCTCTCTAAAGTAGTTTATTGGTTTAATGCTAACAATTTATTGCTTAATGCCAAGAAGACAAAATGTGTTAAATTTGAATTACCTAACGTAAAATCGACTAGTCCAAGCATAGAAATAAACGGAGAAAAGTAGACCTTGTTAATAAAGCAGTCTTCTTGGGAGTGACCTTAGATAGTAAACTTCAGTGGTTTCCACATATCTGTCCAGCAGATTAAGCTCCGCTGCATACGCGGTCCGCAGAATACGTGAGCTTACCGATGTTAGTACTGCTAGACTAGTTTACTTTAGTTACTTCCATAGTATAATGTCCTACGGGATTCTCATGTGGGGTAAAGCGGCAGATATTCAAACCATATTTGTATTGCAAAAACGAGCGATACATTCTGTGTACCGTCTAGGCTCTTGGGTATCTCTCAGAGAAAAGTTTAAGGAGACTGGTATCATGACTGTGGCATCACAGTACATTTACTCAAATATTTTATATGCCCGTAAAAATATACATAATTTCAATAAGAAAGAAGATATCTATAATATTAACCTTAGAGCTAAGTCCAAACTCATGGTACCACGATTTCGTTTAACCAAGGTAAACAACTCTTTTATGGGGAACTGTATACGTTTTTACAATAAGATTCTGGAGCTTATATTAAGTTTATCATTTCCTAAGTTTAAAAACTACATTAAAAATATTTTGATCAAAAAATCATATTACAAAATTGAAGACTACGTGTTAGATAAAGATGTATGGAAAGACGACATGGCTCCAGAATCCACACAAATTTGATTCAAAGTGTATTCCATAGCATTTAAGTTTATTTGAAAAGAGCAATCCCTAGAGTTTCTTGCTCGTTCTTCTCAGGGAGGTCAGCGTAGTGAACGAGCAGTAGCTTAAATGTGACGTTTTCAAGTGTAAATTTATTTTACCTATGGAATAAATAATCTTTGACTTTGACTTTGACTTTGACTTTGAAGAAGAAGTTACATAAATCTGCAACATTACTATAGCTATAGAACATATAGATACACGCAGATCCTGTTTAGCACAAACAATGTCTTACTACCAGTTACATAATAAAATTTACAGTCACATCATGTTGTTGTACTGACCAACAAGTTCTTTTTAGTTGCTAAATGGTGATATCTAGTGATGATTTCTGACAAGAATGTTCCAGTAGTCAGTTGAAGAAAGTTGTTCCTTAAAATTTGCCATAATGACAAAGATTTAAATCTAACTTATCTGTTTCTATATTAAAACCACTGTATAAAAATTACTCACTTCCATTTTTAAAACAGCTTGCTCCTGAGTCAACTGTTTTTTCGGATCTTCAAACCACATCTTGAGAACTCTATTCCTGACCTGTATGAATGTATGGCTCGAGGGTCCTTGGAGATCAGAGAAGCATTCTGCCTCCATAGAAGACATCTTATCGAAAGGCAGTCTTGATTGAAATGCTGCCCCTTCCAAACTGAAAAAAATTCTTGTGTCATTGTTTTGAAAAAGCATAATACAAATTACTTCTTGCACACATAAGGCACTATGCAAATAGACAGGAACAGTCAAGAAGTCCATCAGAAAACTGCTTGATTGTTACTATTTATAAAAGTGCCCAGTTTCTAAACATTTGATGGTTGTATTTATGTAGGTATATACCTGTTAAGCATTTCTTTATAATTGATTTCTTCAATATCTTCAGCTCTAGGCTCCTCGATCACTATTTTACTCTCCTCTTTTTTGGTCTCCTTTCCATCAGCGTTTCGACTCGAAGACGACTCCCTACGACCACCGACAGACGTAGGACTAGAAGATGTGACCTTGCTCTTCTCAGATTGATCAGATTCAGAGTCATCCTGCTTCAATTTCTCATCCAATTCGCGATTTTCAACCTGGAGATCGATAAACATAACCTTCAACATTTTACTACAATTTAGACTACCAGCATGAAAAGTATAAAATAAAGTATTGTTATACATACCTTTGCACGCTTTCTACGACTCATTTTTATGGAATTTCAGATAAAATTTCTAAAGTATTTAGTAAATATTTGGCGAGAGCCAGACTTCGTCAAAACACAACAAAACAAACTATCGTTCAAAAACAGACCGAAACAATCGTTTGACACTTCGTGTCAAATTGACAAAAATTCGACGAAGGATTATTAAACGAAAACTACTTACGAACTATTTCTGAAAAAAGTTGAATACTCAAAATAGACTCCATAGTAGTTTGTGATAGACTCATTTCAAACATTATCTAACCTATGAAAATCTTACAAATTCATCGAGCAGCATTTAAAAAAATGTTGTTCTCGCTACATTGTGCTTAAAGGATGGAGGATAATACTTTCATCCATTGTCAAGCTTAAATCGTAGTCAAAAAATACCTACACATTCTACAAGAGAAGCCAGAAACTTATAAATAGTAGTAGTAGTACTATTTACCTACACATTTCTGAACATAATCAAGTGTTGACCGCGTTTTAAACCATTGTCTGTGTTGCGCCAAAGATTTAAAAAGCCCGTGATGGCCCGACTTGGTATAGATTTAATCATCCACAAGGCTGTGATTATAGGACGTGGAAAGAATGGGGCTGGTTAACATTATTGTAGTTTATGTGACTGTTACATAATGAAAGGCTTAGAATAATAACGCATAGAATGATAGTTTCATAAAAAACGAACTGTCACAATGAGGCAAAAATCAAATTCATGTAGCCGTAAGCAACTTGTATTTACGCTCGTCGGCACGCACACAAGTATACAAATAATGATGCCATGGAATAATATTTCCCTCAAAAGTGGGGAAATTGTATTTTGCTTAACTCATCGTTAAATTAGAGGTGCCTACAGATTTGCTCGATTTTGTCGATCGTTACTGTCGATCAGGTACCTACAGATATGCTCGATTTTGTCGATCGTTACTGTTGATCGACAACGTCAAGTGACAGGAATTTTCAAAAATTTATTTTTGGTAATCCTTATGGAAATGGCATTTATATCTGAATATACGAAGGCGGACACGACTTTTCTCATTTCTAAATCCAAGATGGCGGACACGTCTTTTCGAATAAATGCAATATGGGAATCGTTTTCGAGGTATTCGAGGTGCTCATCACGAATATGGCATTTATTTCTAAATCCAAGATGGCGGACACGACTTTTGAAATAAATGCAATATGGGTATCATTTTCGAGGTATTTGGGGGTGCTCATTACGAATATGGCACTCATTTTTAAATCCAAGATGGCGGGCACGATTTTTCATATAATGGCAAGTTGGGAATCGTTTTCGAGGTATTTGGGGGTGCTCATTAGGAATATAGCACTTATTTCTAAATCCTAGATGGCGGACATGACTTTTCAAATAATAGCAAGTTGGGTGTCGTTTTCGAGGTATTTGGGGGTGCTCATTAAGAACATGGCACTAATTTCTAAATCCAAGATGGCGGGCTCGATTTTTCGAATCGTGGCAACTGGTTTACCAAAAATACATTTTTGAAAATTGTTGTCAACCATCTTGGATTTAGAAATTGATGCTACATTCGTAATAAGCACTCTAAAACTCCTCGAAAACGTCTATAATTCTCAATCGACAATGTCGAGCAAATCTGTAGGCACCTTATTAAATACTACCCAATTCTTATTTAACTCATATATGAACAAAAACCTACAAGCGAGTTTAAGTGCGACTATCGAATTTGAATATATAAATAGCCTGATATTATCTGTGGGTATGTTTATATGAAAAGTACACGATAACTATTAAGAACCTGAACCTGAAAATTATTTATACACGATTTTGGAGAACTGACGATGACTTTTTAGTCAGTGTTAGTTTCCTGAAATAATTTTAGTTAAGAACTTTTGAGTCTGGGCAAGACAATTTTTTTAAATGAGTGCATGATGAACAAGAATAATGATTTTTCACGTGAAACTAATGAAGGCAAATACTAAATATATTTCGTAAAAATAGCTAACGTAAATTCCCTACAATGTTGTTGCGGCGGTGTACATTTGTAGAAATTTTGCAACCGTCGCGATATTGCCTATTTTCAAAAAATTACGTAATATAATTATTTTGAAACAGAATAGCAAAATGGGGAGAAAAACCCCGTTTGCAAAGTATTGCAACATTTTCGTATCTTGTTGCAACGAAATTAATTTTCTGTTTTAGTGAATATTTACATAAAAATACAAGTTGAAACGCGTTACTTCCTTGTGGAATGTGATGTTAGTGTCTATTTTATATTTGTCTGATCTATTTTTAAACCCAATTACCGCACATTTCGTCATTTTTAGCAAAAATTTTTAAGCTGCTCGCGGTGCAACTTGACCTTGAGCATTGACAGCCCGCTCGCTCCTGTAAGCCCATATGCCTCACTTAGCGTGTGCGGGCTAGGTTTCTATGCGTTATTATTCTAAGATGAAAGGCATGAAAATACGAGTGATGGTTTATGAAACGAGCCGACAGGCGAGTTTGATAAAAACATCTCACGAGTGTTTTAATGCCTAATTATATACAGTTACATACACAGTTTTATTTATACACATATTATAAGCTCTCTGTGATGTGTTCAGGAACCGCATGGTATGGTAGGCACGACTGGCGAAATAGCGGCAAATAAAAATTTTTCTCACGCATGTCACACAACCGAAGTTTTTATTTTTAATTCATAGACAAACTAGAATCGGCCCCAACTATCATATCGTTCGATATCAAGTTGTAACGTGTGAAATTGTCAAAATTGTTTTCTATTGACATTTCATTTCGAATAAAACTTCATCTCGACTGAATCAGAATAGAGGTCCAATCAAATTGTTGTGTTTTTCAGAGATGTTCGAAATTTGAATGTATTAATAACATCGAATTCGATGATAATATGAAGCAATAATGGGTCGTTTTCAGATAACCGCCAAAAATGTGTCCCTTTCAATAACTTTTATATTATTACATGAATGCTAAGCATTATTGATTTAATATGATTGCTTGCTTATTTAGTCTGTGTTACAACATAAAAAGACTACTTTACTACGTCACAGTAATAAATAAAAATTAAAAAGTGGGCAATTTCTCATTCATGGGAGCCGGTTCCACATCGCCCTAATTTTAAAAAAGAAAAAAAAATTAAATACTCATGGAAATCGCAATATTTCCCATCGACGATAAACCGTAATAACTTACACGTCCAATGCATACCGTAACTTTCCAATTGATTATAAACAAACATGTTTTCTTGGGAATAGAAAATGTGTTTCAATTTTTCTTATCATTAGTGTCAATTTAACTAAAAGCCTCCTAATAACAAAATTTCATACCGCATCACCTTCACCCTTCGCACACGTGAGAAGGGACTCCTGTCGGATTGTAGTGTACACAGTGAAATAACCTGTGCATCTCCGTTTTGGCAAAAATCTACTTAAATACTAATTTCAGCACTAGTGACTAAATCGTTCTCATTCATGTAAAGCAATCTATCTAAATAAGTATTAAGTAATAGTTTTATAAACTTTATTGTACAACAATTAGACAAAGGGAACTTTAAAATCCATGCACTTTTATAAGGATCTATTATAGCATATTTTACACACTTGATAATTAAAAATGTATCCAAATATCATTATTGTCGCTCTCATTCTTGTCTACTTTTAAGTCAAATAGTTACTTCAAGCCAAACATTTACTTGAAATTAATATAACAATTAGATGGTGATGGTGGTGGTGATGACGTTCGTAACGATGGTGGAGGTGGTGGTAATGATGACGATGATTGTGATGATGATGTGAATGGTAATGATGCTGATGATAATGGTGATCATGATGACTTTGTTGATGGTGGTAATGATGATATATTGATGTACAACAAAGTTTATATGATATTAACAAAATACTTATTTAGATTTATTTATTAATCTATGTGTGAGATAGATAGATGGTTTTACACGGATGAGAAGGAATTTGATACTAGAAGTTATATTAAATATTTGTTACATGTTAAATGTTTTTTTGTGAACGATAAAATGTGTGTTGTAATAATAATTTCTCATTCCTTTGTCGTCTTTCTCATTTACGTTTATGAGAAAATCATTCGTGTTACTGCAATCTCATTCGTGTGACCTAAAATATCGTTTTTTGTTGTATTTAACTTAAATATTTCTGTGATTTTATAATTACTGACATTGCTTGAACTTATTTGTACTTTTAAGACCTTAAGACCAAAAGAAAAAGGGTTTTACAAAAATCACTCAAAAAGTGCCATTGAAATTCGGGAAGTGAAATTCACCCTAATAACATTTTCACAGATTAGATATTTTACATTTTCATGGATAAGAAATTTGTTCTTACAAAGTAGTTTACCTTTAAGCTGGTCTTAATTTGCGGTTTTCGGACAAATTATAAAGAATTTATGACATGTGTGTAGATAAAAGATATTTTTAACCGACTTCAAAAAAATGAGGAGGTTCTCAATTCAACTGTACGTTTTTTTTGTGCGTATGTTAAGCGATAACTCCGGTATTTGTGAACCAATTTTCATGATTATTTTTTGTTGGAAAGAGGGTACCTCCATAGTGGTCACATTTAATTTTGAAGAAAATCATCCACCTCTAAGGGTAGTTGTTCACGCATGATGATTCATTTTTATAAATAGCGCCTAAATTTTATTATAAGGAGCAATTATTTTAATGGTTGATTTTGCTATTTTCCAATTTAAGGCGTTTTTCTCTTTCAATATACTTTGAAGGATGAGAACCGATTTTTATTAGCTCCTGTGTCAAGTCCAGTATAATGGCGAATTAGGGGATGGATCCGGGTTTGCTCACTTTCCGGTAACCGATTTCAATAAAACTTGGTAATTATATGTAATTCCACGTACTTATGAGGTCGGTTTTTTTAGTACTCTGTACTGAGATTATAAATGGTAACATTATTATATACTTGTGGTCAGGGTCATTTATTCAATAAAATCGAACAATCTTCATTATTCCATTAGAAATTTGTTGGGTACTAGAAGCAACGTTTAAAAAGTCTTTCTGAAATGATTGTGTAGTGGGCTGTCTTCGGAATAGCCAGCAAGTTCTTGCGGAATTATAGCACTTTCTTCTACAGTTCCACAAGGACGGCACATGCACTCTAGGGGAGCCTTTGTTGATACCTGAAATCAATTATCGTTATTAATTATTATCAACAGCTATTAAATTTCCAGTTCGGCAGCGACTGCAAGTTTAATAGCTGTCAACATAGGAACTAAATCGGTTAGTCTGATAGAAGTACGGAACTTCGACATCAAGGTCCTTATCTAAAATTGATCAACGAGTCGTTGTTAGTCTGTAAATAAAATACAAGGTAGTTTATTTTTGATAAGGTGACCGCTGTAGTTATTGTAAATGTAGTTACCATAATTATATTAGCCTCCGGGGGCGGGGTCGGGGTATCTACTTGTGAACATCGGTATACACGTATACATACATACCTTTCTAAATCTCTTCTCTTCACTTTTTGCTTTTGGACAAAAAAGAACAACAGTAGCTTCCCTCTCTCCAGATTCTTGACAACAATTACATGTGCGCTCCATTTGCCATATCTTACTGCCAGATACCTAGACAAAACAAAAATTTGGAACAACATCGTACTTGTTTATAGAATGTGTGTTCAGACAAAACTTATGGATACTTGGTTTAAAGCGAAGATAAGACTAAAGTTTGTTCGGCAGAATTTACTTGAATAAGTATTTATTTCTACCTGCACATAGCTGGTGCACTTGCCTATGCAAGCAAATGAAGGTATCGGCTTCGGCACACAACCAGGATGCTGAAGGACGTGTATTACTGGAGTCATCTGACATTCTTGACCTGAGAACATCACAGATCCTATACGTTTTCTGTTCAAACTTCTCTAAACTCGTCTAAGTTTTAAGAACTTTTTGTAAGTACCAAACTATGTGGATCTAATATGTCCAATTAGTCATGCAGAAATTCAGATATAGGTAAAGCTATTTAATCATGTTTAAAATTACCTGGTGGTACATTAATTTCGTGAGCTTTGACGGATTTTTCTTGTACCACACAAACCACTAAAATAGCTAAACTTATCGAAATACATCGTAAACGAGACATTGTATATATTTTTAGTTGCACTTCCACCATCTATGGCTACCTTAACACGGAATGTAAGTTCTGTAAGAAAATATCTTTTATATGGGATAAAATCTTGTCCAAGTTTGAGATCAAAGTTATGTACGGTAGGTGTAACACAGAAAGTCATTTACGGTTCACGTCATCTAATTTGAAATCATGGATGCCCAACGGTTCCGACATGAATAACCCTTTAATTATACATTAATCGCGTCGCCCCTTATTATTTCCTTTGTGCTCAAAACAAGTAAAATCACTTTGCGATCTTACAACCTCCCGTCGTTTCAATATGAATACAACATGTTATCCCTTAAATTCAGTTTGTTAGAGCCTTATAAAAGACGCGATGATAACGTTAAACAAGCCATTCCTAATTTTGTCTTGGGCCTATTAGGATTCAGGACCTAAGATTGCAAAATGGCATTGAATAATAGATTACTTATCTACATTGTAGAAATTGTATTCTTTTTACTTATCTCCTGCTCTGCTGACGACAACTGTGAAACGGTTCCATCTGAAATTCACGTTACTAAAGGTAATTTCATTAGTATCCTGAATTTTGAATTACCATATAGCCACTTAATTTTATAACAATGTCAATCCATGGTTATATAATTATGTAAATCAATCTGAAACTATAAACTGCCAACGAGTAACTTTCATTTACAGAGGAATACGACGATTTGGGGCGATTAGTACGGTCATGTAGCGGTGAAGTCAGTGTCATCAAATGTGAAGGAATGTGCAACAGTCAAGTTCAACCATCCGTTGTAACTTCTACAGGATTTTTGAAGGTATTTTTTTATTGTGATACCAAGTCACGGGACGAACTAGTCGTTAGTAAGCGACACGCCTATCCGTAGCATTTGCAGTGCCACTTTAATCGCAAGGATCTCAAAAGCACAGCCACTGTGCCTGTCACCCTGAGAGATAAGTTGACAAGTCTCATGTGCCTGTAATTTCACTAACCTTACCATTCAAAACGGGAACGCAGTATTTCCCTGGACGAACTCTTTCTTTCTCATAAAGAATGTCTAAGCTTTAAAGAGTACAGAATGTTCTTGACTAAACCGAAAATATTCAAATGAAAAATATATGGTCGTGATCTGTTATAATTTTATATATGATGAATGTGAACGTTATGTCTATTTACATAGAGCGATCCATAAAGTTTCATAAACCTTACGAATGTTCGTTTTCTCAATAAGTAGGTACATAGGTACTGATAAATCAATATAATATCTACTTATGTAGGCACTACTTGTACTCGCTTACAAAACATTTTATTTCAGGAATGTTTCTGTTGTCGAGAAAACTACTTACGTGAACGTATAGTAACACTCACTCATTGCTACGACCCGGATGGTGTACGATTAGAAGATGAAGATAATGCTATCATGGAAATAAAACTTAAGGAACCACACGAGTGCAAATGTTATAAATGTGGTGACTTTAGCCGATAGTACTGGATGAATATTACCAACAAGTGTTAGGTAATTACATGTATAATACACTACACTTTCGACTGTAAAGATATAACCGTTACAAAACTGCATGTCGTTGATGAGCTTAGGTACAATGGCAATTAAGTAGAAAAAAAGTAAAATATAGATATTGTTTATTGTGAACCTAACTGGTCAGGGTCTTGCAAAATATTATAAATATACTACGTGAACAAAAGCATTTGTTATTATTCAGATAAGTACCTATGTAGGAAATGTAACTATTTTTCCGGATTTAAATCGCGTATATTTGATTTTTGAAACTAACCGACGTTTCGGGCCCTTTACAGGTCCCATGGTCACGGTTGACCGCGACCATGATGAATATACGCAATTTAAATCCGGAAAAATAGTTTCATTTCCTATGTGTAACAATCGCGAAAACCTAAGAACTCGATAAGTACCTATGTAATAAATATATTTTGTGTAATATCTAACTGATCCCCAGTCCTAAGGTTGTATATTGCGAGGTGATAGTGTTTAGTCACTCACTACACGATATTGAAACTTCTTATCATATCCATGGCATACACTATAATGCAAGCTTGCATCGTAGTGAAAGGATTTGCCAATGAGTGTTCCTTATGATTTGCCAATCGGCGTAAAGTACTCGGCCGATTGTTGCTCAGGGTGCGTGCGTGTGTCGTGCGAGGAAGTTCTTTTCGTGCACCCCGCGATATTAAGTAGGTTTAGTTCGTTTGTTTAGCCAGTACATTATTAGGAACTTTTTACATGCCAATATTGTAGGACTTATGATCGACAAAATTACTTTTCTCAAAATGTCTTTTTTGCTGACATTATGTAATTGGTTAATATTATTATCATGAAATGGTTACGTGACTGTCCGTAGTCACCAGCTATAATCGTGGTAATCAGTATAATCACGTACCGTGACCTTTAGGACCTATTTGTGGAATACCGAGCTTATTTTCCTAAATATGATTCAAAGACAAACACATTCTTAACTTTTAATCTTGTGAATTTCTTGAAAATTTGTTTCATTTTATTAGGTCGTTTTTTTAAACTGTTAGGTATTGTACCTACTTCGTAAAACATTGACTGCTGACTTTTTTCTTAATAATTCTATAAAGCTACTTTCGCATAAAGATTATCAACCTTAGAATTAAGTGCCAATGCGTAAAAGTGTTTAAATTAGTTGTTTGAACTATACAAACGGCACGTGTGTTACCGAAACGGCTCACTCTTTTGTCCTATTGTATTCTATCCGCTCGCGCGATGCGCTCCTCCTACCGCAAAATGGCGGCTATTTGGTTTCGCAAATTAGAAAAGCATTCAGTTTAAATACAAGTTTTTATAAATAAAAATTATTATTCTGCATTGCTAAATAAATACCCTCCGTACTACCAACAAAAACATCTCAAATAAAATGCAGTAATACACCACAAATCCTGCACTTAAAAAGCACTAATGAAATTTTTGGTGTACTTGGATAAATATGATAATATTCCGATTGAGTGGTTCTCACGTTTACCATGAAATTACTCCTTAAAGTATAGTTTATAAACATTTATATTCAGGGTAAACTTAAAAAACGCTACTTACGGTACGTTTTCAATAAATAAACACCGAAATCACCAGCCCAAACAATAACACACACGATTGTCGTGACGTATTTTTGAAGTTGATTATTTTTTTAAATGACAGGCATTAAAAACTTTATGGTTTGCTAGAGTAGTTACGGAAATAGCAATTAATATTAGTTCTTTTACCTGTTATAACTTCGATATCCGATAAATCGGTATAAAATCATCACCGGCACCTCTAGGTATGGTATGCGTCTACGGCTGCATGTATCGCGTGAGCGGCTAAAGATGAAGCGATAAGACGAATCGGTGCAAACAAAATTTCGCCAACTGTACTTGCAAGCTATAAACCGACCCATTCACTACCAGTATGGCAGTCCGCCGCCCGCAAAGGCAGGAGACTACTCACACACTATCCTGCGTACGGCCTACGTATGGAGTCTTTCGCACGCATTGCAGGATTGCAAGATGGCTTGCGTTGTGACTACATTCATAGTGTTGCATTACGAGGCGCACGGCAAGGCGGACTGCAATGCAGGATAATGAATGCCCCCTAGAGTAAAGATGTTTCGCCTTCATGCTGTTTTACGGTTACAACAATTTTAATATTTTTTCCCGAAATTCGATTAGGCTTATATATTCTAGTCACTACGAAACGGTGCGGCGACGGCGACGCACGGCAACCCTTTTGAGAATTGTCTAAGGCTTCCTTTCCACCAGAGATGTGCGAGGTAGCGAGGCGATAGAGGATGTGAGGATGCGTTACGGACCCTTTTCAGTTATGCACGGCCGAGGTACGGTGTGGTGGAGTTAGCGTTGGCGATGAGTCAGTTAGTGTCATCCTTTCAGTAATATACAGTGTATTCAGTAATATTATTTGAAATAAGACTAAAAAAAATTTAATTTGCATATTATTTTTAATTTTTTCATGAGTACTTTTGGTGCGTTGTAAATACTTTCTTTATTATTATTATTATTTATTACGCTGTTGTGTTTATGTTTAGTTATTCCACTTAAATTGTTTTCTTATGTAGTTTTAAGCTGACAGCCTTGTAACCAAATCTCAATAAACTTAAAAAAAATTCAATTTCACATTGACATTACTTTTTTTAAGGCGCATTTCTTATCTTTGCGGATCGTCATTCACGTCATTCATTCGAATCAAGTTGCAATATTAGAGGTGTCCACTTAAAAAATATATCGATGTAAAACATCGAAACCTTGTATCGATGTACGTATTTCGATGCATCGCTTAAAAACATTGACGTTTTTCCAACATCGAATACTTTTTTTTCTTAGCATAATAGTGAACGTAGAGTAATATTTTACCAACAGAGTGTCGATGTCGCTGTAGTGACGTGTTTAATTTGATATGATATGATGATACTGTGTGTTAGTGTAGTAGCACTAATCAAGAGAAGCCAGGAACTTAAAAAATAATATTGCATCGGTAAAACATACATTTACAAGTGAAAAAAACTGCAAATTACTAAACTAGAAATGTTTTTACGCAATAATAATTCCTTGTAGGTTTCGAGTTCTTAGGTTTTCGCGATTGTTACACATAGGAAATGAAACTATTTTTCCGGATTTAAATCGCGTATATTTGTTTTTTCAAACAAACCGACGTTTCGGGCCCTTTACAGGTCCCATGGTCACGGTTGACTGTCCTTGTAGGTTGTTTTTTTGCGATTAAGTAAACTTTCTAAAATATACAAATACGTTCGATACATATTGAATTATTCATAAATGACTTACAATATTAAATTGAAACACAGAGGCACGCCAGTGTTAGTGTCTTCTATGATTCAATGTTTTTATTAAGAACATCGATGCATCGAATAGAATTTCTTCTTCTCAAAACATCGTATCAATCCGATGTATCGTACGATAAACATCGAATCAATTCGATACATCGATGTTTAACGAATATCCCTATGCAACATCTTTCTATTCTATTAATTTGTGAACCATTGGTGTCACATAAACTTTTTTGTTTTTTGTAAATGTAATTAATCTGTAATCATTTACAACAATACAACATGACATTCGACGAAGATTGTATCCTGTATTTAATATTGGCATTTTCATGGACAGAATTTCTGTGGGAGTTTTATCTATCGTTCCGGCAGGTAGGTGTTCAATTCAATTTAGGTTATTTTTTACTTAGATTGCCATAAAATTCCATTATCACTTGTTATCACTTATTAGGGAGTGTAATTTTTGCCGGTAGAATAGAAGTCATATCTGATATTAGTTAAAGTATTCCGATATTACTACTTGTTTGTCCACGAGAACTACATGTCACTAGTAATTAAAATAACAAGATAAAATTGTACACTCGGTGATCTTCGTCCTATTGTTATCAGTGAAACACAGACCGTAGACAATTTCACCTACGAACTCGCTTAATATGCTCGTAGCTCCGTTGATGCTTTGTATGGTATGGTCAGTTGTTAACTGCCGACGCAAAAAAGGCAGTTATCAAGTTTGAAGCCTTTGTCTGGCTATATGTATGTCTACCTGTGGCATTGTAGCTCGCAACCGATTGATTTAATTAGGATTGTTCTTAGCCATCTTTGATGAACTGCTATTTAAAGATGTTCATCGCAGATGACTAAAGTTGTATAAAGATCATCAACTCTATTAGAATATACTATTAATAAATTTTACTTTATCACTTTACAGCTCAAGATTTATAAGACTAACACCACTATCCCAAAAGACTTGAATGAAATGCTCAATGAAGAATCTTTCAAGAAAGCCAGACTTTATGGTATTGACAAGTCACAGTTCAAAATGAGTAAAGAATTGTTCAATATTACAATGATGTCTCTGATCCTTTTCAATAGATGGATATATGTGGGGTGGAGTGTATCTATAAATTTTGCAGCTCAGTTCAATATTGCTCCAGACAGAGAGATAGTGATAAGTTGCTTTTTTATGACATTTGTTACACTGTTCAATTTTGTGGTAAATCTGCCATTCACAATTTATGGAACTTTTGTTTTAGAACAAAAACATGGATTCAATAAGCAAACTCCAGGATTTTTTGTTAAAGACCAATTGAAATCATTGTTGCTCAGCCTTATTATCACATTGCCAATCATTGCAATAGCTATCTATATTATAATGTTAGGTGGGAACATGTTTGTTGTATATCTGTGGTTATTCACCACTGTAGCTACACTTATCCTCCTTACCTTGTACCCAACAGTGATAGCACCTTTGTTTGATAAGTTTGTTCCATTACCTGATGGTAATCTCAGAGAAGGCATTCAGAATCTGGCCTCAAAATTAAACTTCTCTCTATCTCAGATTTATATTGTTGAAGGATCAAAACGGTCAGCTCACAGCAATGCATATTTTAGTGGCCTATTTGGTGCTAAGAGGATTGTTTTGTTTGATACCTTGATAGAAAAGTATGATGAAGAGAAAAAAGTTACCACTGGGTGCAGTGACAATGAAATATTAGGTGTTCTTGCACATGAACTGGGGCATTGGAAATGCAGTCATATTTACAAGTCAATAGTATTGACAGAAATTAATCTTCTGCTTCTTTTCACAGCTTTTGGATTTTTATTCAAGTACCCAATGTTGTATAAAGCTCTGGGATTTTATGACTCTCAGCCTGTTATAATTGGACTTATAGTAGTACTGCAGATGATCCTCGCACCATATAATTCAATTCTGTCTTTCTTTGCCACTGCTCTTTCTAGAAAGTTTGAATTTGAAGCTGATAATTTTGCAGTTGCCTTAAGTTATTCAAGAGAATTAAAATCAGCACTCATTAAGTTAGGTAAAGATAATTTAGATTACCCTATTTATGATAAGCTGTACTCAGCATGGTATCACTCTCACCCAACTTTATTACACAGAATTGAGAATATTCAGAGTAAAATTTCAGATAATAAAGTAGATTAAGGAATTTTATTATTATTATTATTCCACATTTGTATGTTAATGCTAACAGTACAACATTTAGATGTTACTTTTATACATGATAGTGTAGATGTTTTAGTCCAGTTTTACCAGTTGTAACTATAATATACTATGCATTTGTAATTGCGCATTTATAGTTAAGACACTGAATAGTCAAAGAATACCCATATACATTGCATAATATTTTTGAAACAAAACATTAAAATTATTAAAACATTCTTTGTTTAACATATTTTCATACAATGTAAAAAATTTGCGACTAATCCTTGTCTATTATTATGTAAATATTGATAAATTTGTATCGTAACGGGATTTTACAAACCACCATTAAGGTCGAGAAACACTCACCTGGCGAATATAGTTCATCTCAATTTGTGATCAGTACGGCTAGCAAGATTGGACGCGACTTCAGCGCAGTAGCGGATTTGCAGTCCTGGCCGCCCGAGGCCCCAGGTCATGTAGTCCGTACCAGCCACCCCTTTCTCAGCACTCATCATGTACACAATGAATTTACTTTTTTACCAACTTTTATCGAAATCGATTCAGAAATTTAGTTAACTATTATAGCTGCATTCTGTCTGTTGGTGGAAACCGCATGAAAATTGGTTCAGTACTTTTGAGTTTATCGCGATCATACAGACAGACAGATGTGGTAATGATAATACGTAGTGATTTAGTGATTATACATTACATTATAGATATTTAACATATCTATATTTTATATATAAAATGTACTAAAATGATTTCGGAACACTATTGTTATACGATGCGGTGCAGTACGGCCCGCCATAATATGCGTGAGCCTATATAATATTTAGGCACTTTGAGTTATTTCTTGTTTATCATCAGTGAATTTGTTGTCACGATTGGCCGCTCTAGGCCCGGGCCTACTGGGTCTTAGGACAATCAAAAAAAGGACAAAAAAGAGATCTCTCGCTTGATGTCGGTCTCGCTCAAGCCCTACTGATGCAATTTACAATTTGTACTATTACTTTTTTATACGAAAATTATTCGTAATAATGCGTAGTGAGTATCTTAACATCCTGCTGGAATCTCGTTATTGGTACATACCATCACTTTGTCTAATCGAAAATGTTTCTTGATACCGAAATAAAAAAATTAAACAAAAGAAAATAATACATTATTATCTTGATCAAAAATGTTTTCGTGGCGTCTGTCATGCGCCCTCGAAACCTTACCTGTTTTGACTAGACTATGAAGTGTAGATTCTAATTTTAATGTAAAAATGTAAATAACAGCTGCACATATAATTAAAAACAAAATTTACCAAAGATGACATTGTTAATTAACATTGAATGCTTATTAATCAGCAACGTAATGTGCTTCATATAAATCGTGCTTCTAACACCTGCTTTATCAGTAATTGGGAACGTGCTCCGATACTAATGGAAGACCAATTTCGAACGAGTCTGATGACGTCGTCGTCAAAATGCCGTAGATTAGTTATGTAGGTATGTAAGCCTTAATGATGATGACGTTATATGATATTTACGCAAAGTTGCTGATCCATATTATGGTGCTTGCCCGAAACTAAAAGCATCATAGATATTGTGTCATTTGTTAACAAATCAAATTCCTGCTTCACAAGAAAACGCCACAACTAAATTAGAGAATAAAATTGTATTTACGAGATTTTAATAATCTGTTATTAAACCATTTTATACATCACGATCGCGATGGTCTTTTTTTCGACTTCCTTACTTTTGCAGACGCGGACTTCCTGGAAAAAAAACATTTTCTATAAAATAACACTATTCCAAGTAATAAGCAGCTGGCCTAAAGTTTGAATAATTGTTCTTTGAATAGATTAAGTGTGCGTGGTGATTGCACTGGGCACATTCCATACAATAACTTACTTTTGTGATAAGTACTACACCAATTAGTATTGTAATGATTGTGAGGTCATTTATTATTTAGTTAATGTATTATGTTTTGTAAAAAGTCATGGAATAAAAGTTGTTTATGATGTTAGTGTTTTACAAATAGATCTGTATAATTTAATCTTAATTGAAGGAGCTTTACCCGTAATCTTTAGTTATTAATGTCAGTCTGTGCAAGATCTTGGTTTCATTCAAGAAAGGAACGATGAAACTGTTACATTAGCCAGTCTGTCTTTATACACATATATAATTTATTTAGTTTTATTAATTAGTAATATAAGTTTGACTGTAATTGAATATCCGTGGTTGCCTATTGGTTAGACAAACGGCCTCTCAAACAGAGACCGTAGGTTCGAATTCGAGCTCGCACCTTTGAGTTTTTTGGAATTCTTTGATGTGCGAAATTTACCATGACCTTTTCGGTTACGGTTCACAACACTCGGAAAAGGTGTGGAAGTCTCCAACCCGCATTAGGCCACCGTGTCGGAATATCGGCATAAACTCTCGCCTGAGAAGAGACCCGTGCCCAGCAGTGGAAAGTATTAATGGGTTGACGATGTGTTAGTGAAAATTCTCATCACGAACTTCTTAATACTTGTTAAATTGAAGCGTGCGGGTTGACTTACTTAAAAATTTGTTCAGCTTCTTCCAACGTATCCGGTAGAGGTTTACCTTTAGTTTCAGGCAATGGATAAAGTAGAAACATTTGGGCAAACGTCGTAGTAGCTATAAACATCAAGGGGAAATTTACTACAGTGCTGTCCAAGCTAAGAACGAAAGGTGCTATCATGGAACCGATACGAGCAAATGTCGTCACTCCTCCGACTCCCACGTTGCGACCAAGGGTTGGATACAACTCTCCAGTGTATAAGTAGAGTGTTGGTACAGACGCCTGTAAATTATAAATTGACGATAGATTGGCTTTACGGCTTATTAGACGTACCTAATCAGAATTACTTACCAAGTAAGTTATAAATAGCTACATATACAAACGAGGCGTAAATTGATATCTTAAAGGAATAAATGGTAGTGTTATTCTCAGACCGCAACCGTTTGTTGACTTACCGCCATTGACGCAAATCCTATTCCCGCGAACAATAGCCTCGGCCAATCTTGGGGGCACAAGTCTCGTGGTATCAACAATAGAGCTATGAAACACAGCCCTGTAAAGAATTGGAATATCCATAATGTTGTTCTCCGGCCTACTCTCGTGATTATTAAGACGCAGATTATAGGTCCAGGAGTTGAGACAATTCCCGTTAGTGCTACTGTAATGAATATATTTCCACCAATATCGCCGAGAAATTGTACGAATGTATAAAATGCGATTCCTGTGAAAAGCCTGAAATGAAATGTAATTTTTGAGATTATTTTCTTGTTACGTATGTACATATAAAAACAAATTTTTGGTTTATTTAAAGGCATTAAAAAAAATCAACTTTAAAATCAGCTGTCGTCAAGCAGCAAATAAACGTGTAGGTACATTAGTTGATATTTATTCAGCCTTTTTTTTTAGAACACCAAGTGACGAGGCGAACATGTCGTGCGCCTGTCTGATGGTAAGCGACATGCCTGTCTATAACAGTTGCAGTGCCACTCAGAGCTTTAAAACGCGAAGATCTGAGGGTCACTGCAATCCGCCCGTCACCCTGAGAAATGAATTGATAAGTATTTTGTGCCTTAAATTTCACCAGCACTCATAAGTAGGTACACTTCAAAACCGGAATGCAATAATGCTCACATTACTGTTTGAAGATATCTATAATAGAACGTGGAACGTTATAACATTTCCGATTTACCAGTTAATAGACAATAGGATAGTTGTGAGCCTCATGTTCCGCGATTTCAAGAATTTGGAGAATCCTGGAGGCTTCTTATTATCCGTTCGAGTAGTTGGAATCAAGCGCTTAATTTGGTCTGTACTCCAGTACCTGTTATTTTTTGCAGCAGCCTTTTTCAAGACTTCTAAAATTAATGGCCATATTTTAGTAATATTACATAGATAAATTAAATAAACAGTAATTTTCATAAGTACTTACCTACTGAATGTAGGTACCCTCCCACTTACCTGCGGCTTGGTTAATTTGCCCGTTGGCTATTAACCATCTAGGTGATTCGGGAATGCAAAACCAGTACAAAATATACAACGATGAACAAGTAGCCAAGCCAAATTCGAGTTTTCTCCAGTCCCTTAACCAATATGCAAGAAATGCCATCACTGTATTGCCCAAACCGAACGGCAATTGATAAAGCACTGGGACCGTCATACGCCACTTGCCGCTCACTGTCTAAAATATTATTATATTTTATTTGTACTATCCATATATAATTTAAACTTAACGAACCTTTCTTACCTCCATACATAGAACGAAGGATATTATCGTTATGCCGCCTGACGCAAGCGCCAAAATGAACCAATTTGCCAGAAAATACCAATACCAAGGTAAGACGCTTGCCACATAGCTCGTGCAAGATTGAATTAAAATCGCTACCATGAGCGGGGTTTTGCGCCCACATTTATCCGCCAATCTCCCAAACAATATTCCTCCTAAAAGAACTCCCGTCATCATAACAAATTGAGTAAGCTGAAATTTACCCTAAGATATGTTAGTTATGTGGTCGAAATAGACAAAAGTTTGGTTACAGATCATGAATCATTTCAGGTACATACGTGAATCAACCAACGTCTGTTGCATACTAGGCCCCAATCAGAAGTCATCGTTCTTTGGAATAAAGATGTATCATAAACAAAATTTGTACAAGCTACCAGCGGTATCATACTTTTATCCATGTCACGAGCAGCAGCCAACAATGCCGGGTCATAAATTAAACAAGGAAACTCTTCAATTTTCTGCAAGTAACTTAGGTTGTTTACGAGTGTTATGTCGCATTTACAACATAAAAATATTCAGTATCCACGATAACTCACAGGTGCACAAATATCCCTCCATTCATTGTCGGAGATGTCATCGAACTCTGTCGGTTTAGCGCACCAAAAGTCTTGGGTAGGGGCCATAAATATTATATTCAATTGGTACCAGGCGTTACTTAGTTTCAGAAGGGACATTAAAAAACTTATTTGCAGTTGCCACCTTCCAAAATCTCCAACTACTTTAGAAGTCACATCTTCTTTCTCGAGATTAATTTTTTGATTACTACTTCCACTCCTACTGTCTGTAAATGATTTGAGACATTAATTGTGATTGCTTACCGTGTACATGTACTGTATTTTTTATAAAACAATTTTAAATTACATAAGATAAGGTACATCTAGAAACTTCTTCATCGCTTGCATAACTATTCAATAAAATTCCTTTCAAGTTTTGGTGCGAGTCCCTGATATTTGAATAAAACGAAGGCATTTTGTCCTATTATCTTACAACAATAAATTGTGTAATAATAGTAACTTCTTGGTTTTTAGAAGGTTTTTAGCGTTCTTGTTATTTCGGCTTCATTTGGCCAGTGTGTTCTATCTTGTCAAACATCTTAGTCAACTAGGGTATTCAACATTTTATAGAGATTTTGCATATTTTACTTATAGGATGGAAAAAAAAAACTTTGTTACTTTCTTTTTTCCATCCTCTGAGATTTTGACAGCCACAAAAAAATCACTAAATATTTAAAATTTTAACTGTAGTATCAACTTAGAGGATGGGGAAAAAAGTAAATCAATAAATTCGAGAGGAAACATGATATCATTGTATAAAACAGTCACTTACCCAAAACTGTTTCCTCCAATTCAATTTCCATTGCAAAGTTAAATAAATCAATTAATGTTGAAATAGGCACTATGATAAGTACCCGTAAGCACTAAGAAACTAATAAGTAAATATTAGTTCTGTTTACTTAAAAAAATATTTTACATTTTGTTTTTGCCAGAGGTAAGTACCGTAATCGCAGGTAAACTGAGTCTAATTGAGCGACTTCGGTATACTAACCGGTAAGACTGTAAAGGGGTGGAACTTCCTACACTTTCACTACAGGTAGAAGTACCTACATACGTAACTAGGAATCTAGACATCATTCCAAACATCACCTAATCCAACCATAACCTAATTAGCTAGTGTCGTAACTAGTTTTAAACTTTCAAACCAAAGAGATATTTTCTTATAACGCAAAGTATGTACAACATGTCAAGCCTAAGAGAAATCACCTAAGTAAGTACCTATTCTATATGCCATCACTCGCCGTTGTTGTTGTCGTAAAGGAAATAGGTAATACGGTAGAAACGATCAAAAGTAAGAGTACATACTTACCTACTTTTCTATCTTCACAGTGTGAATAATTGTATGTTATTAATGTTATTAAGTTATTTACTTTATTTTCACCGGCGCGCGCCTCACGCTAAAAAAAATATATGTATGAGTATAAATATTATAAATACAAATATTGAAACCATGTAGGTTTTCCCAAAATTGTGTTACTATAGTTTCAATAGAATTCTATAAGGGAAAGCTCATAAGCCATCCCATCCTATAGTGGCAGTAGAGCTCCTTGTGAAAGAGTTCGTTCAGGGAAGTACTGCCTCCGTACCTATTTCTGATAGGTAGAATTATTACCGTAGTAAACAAACAATCTATAAGTACCTTAGGGTTTCTTAGCTTAGGGTCGTATTCTAGAACTCTACTCAATGCTCAAGTCAGGATTGCAATGGAAACACAAGCACTGGAAATACGACCCTAATGGCAGGGACTTGAGTATGTTTTCTGGAATACGACTCTAGGGGCAGTGTTGGGCAAAATTTAATTGTTCTGGCAATTAAAGATTGACAATTAATTAATTGTCAATTGCGAAACAGCAATTAACGATTGATCAAACTAACAATTGATCAATCGTTAATCGCAAATATCTACAATTAACAATTAATCAATTTTCAATCTTTTCAATGTTTTTAATTAACAATTAACAATTAAAACTGACAATTATGATAAATTTATAGGGTATATTGGGGTGAGTTAGGGCGTTGGTTATGGGGGACCGGTTGGGGGGCCCGGTTGGGGGCCCGGTTGGGGCCCGGTTGGGGGCCCATTTCGGGGCCCGGTTGGGGTCCCCGGTTATGCCGTCAACCGGGCAATCCAGCCGGGGACCCCAACCGGATTCCAACAGGCCCCCCGTCTGGGGCCCCAACCGGGCCACCCAACCGGGCCCCCCAACCGGCCCTATAACCGGGGACCCCAACCGGGGCCTCCAACCGCGCCCCAAACCGGCCCCCCAGCCGGGCCCCAAACCGGCCTCCCAGCCGGGCCAACAACTGGCCCCCCGACCGGCCGGAATTGATTTTAATTGCAAATTTAATTGCAATTAAAATCAATTCAATTGAAATCAATTGCAATTAAAATCAATTGCAAGTAAATTAATTAATTAATTGCAATTGATTTCAATTGAATTGATTTTTTAATCTGATTGAATTATTGAATGAAATTTAATTGATTAACGCCCAACACTGCCAGGGTCGTATTCCAGAACTCTACTCAAAACTCGAGTCAGGACTTGAGTATTGCAGTGAGCACTGAAAATCATACTCAAGCCCTTGCCATTAGGGTCGTATTTCCAGTGCTTGAAATCATACTCGAGTCTGCTCAAATCCTGACTTGAGCATTGAGTACAGTTCTGGAATACGATCCTAAGGGTCGTATTCTAGAACTCTACTCAATGCTCAAGTCAGGATTTGAGAATGGTTTACAGCACTCGAAATCATACTCAAGTCCCTGCCATTAGGGTCGTATTTCCAGTGCTTGTGTTGCCAGGGCAATCCTGACTTGAGCATTGAATAGAGTTCTAGAATACGACCCTCATAGATCGGTTAATTCCACAGACCACATAAATTTCTTTCTTTCGTGGTTAATTCCGTATTGTTTATTTCCAGGAAATTAATTCTTTCAAATTTTCCCGGGTATTTTTTTTGTTTTTTGTGGCTTAAGGAACTTCATATAGAGATAAAATATAGTCCGACAGAGACAAAACCATAGGCCAATGCTATTTGTTTTCCTTATCGTAACTATTTCATAACGCTAAAAATACGCAGCAGGCGCATATTGACGTTCAAATTCAACCTTCGAGCTCGAGCTTGCTTGCTTGCTTCCAGCCGTGTTAATCGTACTTACAATACGTATTTTTACGAGAAATATTAAAATGGTGTACTGCACTGTGGTTTAGTATAATTAAATTTACAAGCTTAGAATATTTCTCATTGCATGTTGTATTTGTGAATTGGAAGCTATGCCGCTGGCAAATACCTCGGACCCTTGGCGTATGCAGAATGTCGGAGACAGCACGGTATGTATTTGTTTGCGTTGGTATTGGATTTTCCTCATGCGATTACTCATTCTTGTTAATAACTCTGCGCTGTCAACAAGTTACCTAGTATTAATTCTTTGGCGCAAAGTGAATAGTAGAAAGAACTTAAACGCCCCCCGCCCAAATTTCTACCCCTGTGAAATTTGCATAATAGTAAGCTAGTTAATTTATTTTACTCATCAGATACCCTGCTGTGCTAACAGGTTTTAAAGTAAGTTTGTTTGGTGGTCTCACGTTACTTAGATATTTCGTGTTACACTTCTTTTTAATAATATCTAAGTGTACATTTTTCCAAGGACGTCATCCCTTACGATTAAACACCTACGTCGGCATGTCATCCTTTTACATGTTTAAGTACAGAATACGTAAAAGTACATTCAACTGGGAATTAGTTTAAGGCCTTGGATGTAGTTCATACCCCAATTGTTAACTATAGTTGTGGAGTATGAGTAGCAGCGGAGCCTAGATGAATACCTGGAAGACTTGTTGAATATAGATAATGTAGAAATAATGTGTAACATTTTTATCTGTAGTTTCTAAATGTATTTAGTTACTGTTAATTGTAAGATAAACATGTCTAAAAAGTAAAGTAAAAATTACAAAAACTTTATATGCTTCTTTTTCATAGCGTGGTAACGGAAGTCAACCAGCAAACAGCCTACCAATGGTTGTGGAAAATGCAGAATCCCGGCAAGCGTCGACAACTGAGAGTTTGGAGGCCGGAGGAGACACTAACTATGAAAGAGAAGTTGAACTACAGGATGTTGTTAAGGAAGGGCATGAGAAGGCTGATCCGTCACAATTTGAATTACTCAAGGTGCTTGGAGAGGGGTCCTTTGGAAAAGTTTTTTTAGTACGAAAAGTTGTTGGTGCTGATGCTGGCACATTATACGCTATGAAGGTTGGTAGTCATGTAATTTATAGATAATATATCAATGATAAAGAGACAATTACTAGAACATACAAACACATTTACACAGGAAATAAGAAATAAAACATCTAGAAGTTGCAAATTAGTATTATTAATAATTTTAATAATCACAAGTCATGTTTATACTAAATACATATTATTATAGACAATGTTTTGTTATTTATTTATTACATGCACATTTTATCATAGAAAATAATTCATTTCAGGTACTTAAAAAAGCGACACTAAAAGTAAGAGACAGAGAACGTACCAAGATGGAAAGAAATATCTTAGTAGAAATGGGCCATCCATTTATCGTTAAATTACACTATGCGTTCCAAACTGCCGGTAAATTATATTTAATATTGGACTTTCTGCGTGGTGGAGATTTGTTTTCACGACTAAGCAAAGAGGTAAATCATCGCAATAATTAGGCTTAATATTTTCCTAGTAATGTGGTGATGATAATATTTTATGTAATAATTGCTGCTCATAATAAGATAAAAATGCGATTTATTGCTATGAATACTAACGTCTTATGAAAACTTTTATTACAAATACTTTTATCTATTTCAAAAGTAATATCTATTGTTCACCACACATATTAGTGATTTATGCAATGGCTCTAGCGTATTATGCATAATGCAGAGTATATTTTTTTAATGGGACAAAATAGGGAAATCCGAAACCATAGAAGATACAAGGAAACTGTCTTAGAAACCATTAAGTATTTTTTTGTGAAAACAATTTTGACATAGTTAGTTTTTTGGTCAAGCGTGAGTTGTCCATAAAAATGAACAAAATTTATCAAAATTTTTTTAGTGCTGATTGACTCAGTTTCATAAAGGGATCATTTCATTGTATAGGACGACAAAAACTGGGACGACAGAAGTCAGTCAAATGTCATAAAATAGTTTTTCATTGAAAATGAATAAAATTGACTTTTTTTAACACTGATAGACTCATTTTCTTATAAGAATGATTTTATTGTATTGTAAGAAAAGAATCGGGACAGCAGAAGTTGGTCAAATTTCATAAAATGTTATTCATTCATCACCAATAATTCATTATCTATGTAGTTTTTTTTTTATTTAATTTGACCAACTTTTATCCTGTCCTGATTTTTTCATCCCATACAATGAAATGACCTTCATAAAACTGAATCAATCAGCCTAAACAATTTTTGTTCAAGTTATTCATTTTTATGGACAACTTACATTTGATCAAAAAATTGACTATACCAAAATTGTTTTCACAACAAAAAGACTTAATGATTCGTAAGACACTTTCCCTGTATCTGCTATGGTTTGGGATTACCCCATACTGTCTCATTTAAAAAAAAACACAAAACACCATCCATTACTATTATTAGAAAATGTATACATTGGACCACACATGACTAATTTTACTTTATTCACTGAACTGAAATTATATATACTGACATTATACACATCTTTCAGGTTATGTTTACTGAAGAGGATGTAAAGTTTTACTTAGCAGAGCTAGCATTAGCTTTAGAACATGTCCACAAATTGGGAATCATATACAGGGATCTCAAACCTGAGAATATTTTGTTAGATGCTGATGGTCACATTGCACTCACTGATTTTGGCTTATCTAAGCTACCACCAAGTAGTGATAAGGCTTATAGTTTCTGTGGCACAGTGGAGTATATGGCACCAGAAGTTGTTAATAGGAGAGGGCATACTTTTGCAGCTGACTGGTGGTCTTTTGGTGTACTTATGGTAAGACTACAGTATTCAACTGGACTTTCTTTTTACATCTGCCAATATCATACATATCATGGAGATATGGTAATTAAAATTTATTTTCGTATTCCAGTTTGAAATGCTCACTGGAAATTTACCATTCCATGGCTCTACAAGACACGAAACAATGACTCAAATTCTAAAAGCCAAACTGGGTATGCCGTCTAATCTTAGTGAGGAAGCACAGTCTTTACTTCGAGCGTTGTTCAAAAGGAATCCGCAAAATAGGTATATTTTTAGATGTTTCTTTGTTTAAAGGAAAACAGTCTAATGTTTGAACTATTTATTTATTTATTTTGTATTTTCTAGATTGGGTGCTGGTCCTAATGGTATAGAAGACATAAAGAGTCACGAATTCTTTGCAAGTATAGAATGGGACGCACTATTGCGAAAAGAGGTATCATGACAGTTTTCAAATTTCATCTTGATTTAATTTTTTACTCAGTCTTAACAGTTGCAGTCTCAAATTTCCTCTGTTTTCTATACAGCTGTCTACATCTTTTAAATGCTGTAAAGAACACAAAAATCAAAGCATTTTCTGTACTCTCGTAGAAAACTTCCGACTTTATCTCTACCAACTGGATTGAGCAGGAAATTCTTCCTTTTTTAACCGACTTTAGAAAAGGGGCTTCTCAATGCCACCTTTTTTATTGTCTATTTTACGCGATTACTTTGTGAACCAATTTTGATGATTCTTTTTTTTTGTTGAAACCCCTTAGTATTGGTCCCATTTAAAATATTCCATCTCCAAGCAAACTGTGGCAAAATAAGGGATGAATCTGATTTCGCGCAATTCACGGTAACCTATTTCAATAAAGCTTGGCAAATAGATGTAATACTTTTGAGACCGGTTTTTTTTAAAGTTATAATTATTTTTAATTTTAACTCCATCTGTGACTGATCACAGAACGTGCCTGAACAGTAAACAGGCGCGATGGGTCAGTTCACTGTAATATATTTTTAATTAATTAAATTTGTTTGATTACCATTTAATGAAATGAAACTATTTTTCCGGATTTAAATCGCGTATATACGGGTGACAATCAACCGTGACCATGGGACCTGTAAAGGGCCCGAAACGTTAGTTTGTTGGAAAAAACAAATAAACGCGACTTAGATCCCGAAAAATAGTTTCATTTCCTATGTCTAACAATTGCGAAAACCTAAGAACTCGATGTACCATTTAATGAATTTACGTTTGTAGGTGGTCCCGCCGTTCAGGCCTGCGGTGTCCAGAGCTGATGATGCGTTTTATTTCGACTCCGAGTTTACGTGTCGTACTCCGAGAGATTCGCCAGGAGTACCTGCTTCGGCCAATGCACATGAACTTTTCAGGTTCGTACATTCGTGTATCTGTACTTTACGTCGTGAATGTTACAGTTACAGTAATAGTAGTTTAGTAATGAATTTAAGTTTCGTAACCTATCTTCCAAATCTTAGAAAATGGGACTCGACAACTTGGCTCCACATTCTGGAGAGAATACATTTGTATAATGGGGCAGTTGCCCATCAACACGTTGATGTATACATAGGGCGCACTATATGTTTCCGGAATTGGCCACTTACATAAACAATATTTAAAAAGTAATTACAACATTTGAAAATGGAACTCTTTGGCTGTGGAATACAATTTGTTTCATCTGACTATCACTTGTTTTTACATTATGGCATCATTTTAGAAATTGGTTGTCTACATCACCATGGATTTATTTCGTGAAAATTTTCGTAGTATGATTTTTTAAGAGTCGTATTCCAGGACTCTACTCAATGCTCAAGTCAGGATTTGAGCAGACTTGAGTATGATTTCAAGCACTGGAAATACGACCCTAATGGCAAGGATTTGAGGATAATTTTCAGTGCTCATTGCAATACTCAAGTCCTGACTTGAGTATTGAGTAGAGTTTTGGAATACGACTCTCAGTGCAATTTAACAGCTCAGCGGAGCTTCGTTTGGCTTCAAACTACTTTTGGCGATGAAGCACCATGCAATACGACTATTTATAGCTGCTTGGCAGAATTCAAATCCGGTCGTGTGAATCTCTGTGACGAATTTCATAACGTTTGACGTCCACTGCTATGAACAACAAAATCATCCATGCTGTGCGCCGTATGATCAAAACAGACAGGATTGTGACATACCATGAGATTCGGGCATCTTTAGGCATAGACATGAGTCAAATATCATCTTGCACCACGATAATGCCAGTTCTCACACGGCCAGACAGACAAGTGAATTTTTGAAGGTGAACAACGTTGACCTTATGAGCCATCCCGCGTACAGTCCCGAACCGGACACCTTGTGACTTTTATTTATTTCCAAAAATTAAGAACCAGTTACGCGGTCAGCAATTTTTATCACCTGAAGAGGCTGTCGAAGAGTATGAAAAATATGTTTCAGAGTTTCTCATGGAGGAGTGGATTAATTGTTTCCAAAATTGGTTCAATCATATGAAAAAGTGCATTAACGCTAATATTTTGAGAAGCAATAAATTCATTTCTGACCATTTATAATATTTTTTTCTTATTCATTCCGGAAACTTATAGTGCGCTCCACGTATAGGCTTCCTATTTTCTTTTTCTTTACCACAGTAAACGATTTAGCCACGTTCGCGGTATTGCCTAATCACTTGCCATTGTTATTGCTATATATTTTTATTTTATTTTATGAAGAATGTGAAATGTATCACGTGTAATGTACGTACGTACTATTTTAAGCTTATTAACCTATACTATACATGTGAATTGCAATAAATGAATATGAAACATTACCTAAGAATCTTATACATCTATAGAATTGGCGCTATAATAATGAATACACGACATACATAGATCAAGAAATTACGTCACCATCATTATCATTATGTCGTATATCGAATACGCATTGTATCATGGCACGTGTACAGTTGCAGTCGAATTTGTAAATATTTAACCCTGTCATGTTTAAGTATATTTGTCTGTTTTTATTATCAACCTCTAATATTGTATTGGTTGTGTGATCCACTCAGACTTACTTGTATTAAATTTTACTTCAAGGAATTTTTCGAACATTATTTGAATTAGAAACTTACATTGTTAATAGATATGTTAATAAAAGAGCACATATTATACAGTGTAAACCTAGCAGTAATATAATACTAACAAAGTGTAAAGTTTTCTGATGTAAGTTTCAGCTGAAGTTGGAATCAATAACCTTCTGCTTGTAATGCAAGTGTCAAGCCTTGAATGGGCTATCAGCTATGAATGTTATCTCTTTACACTATGAGTTTGTGAGTTATCTATCAAGCTAAAACCATGCTCAACTACTTTGACTATCATTCATTTTGAATATATACAGTGTTATTTCTAAAATACTAACAACCTCGCAGGTCTATATTACAAACAATAAATTTCGTTCCATGTCTTTTTACAAAACATAATAAATTTATCAAAAATATTTTTTTTTATGATACCAAGTGACAGGACGAACAAATGGTGCGCCTGATGTAAAAGTGACACGCCCGTCCATAGCAGTTGCAGTGCCGCTCAGAGATGATAAATGATCATTTTAAATTTGCAAAAGCAGCAGGCGAAAAATTTAGACGGTAAAATCTTTTTAATGATTGACTTGATCTGAAAACATGTTCGTAAGCGCAAGCAAACTGGCTTGTGGAACTCGCTCGCCTCGTGCTGCTTTTTCTTATACTAACCTAATCTAACCTACGGAATGGAGGGCGCAACCAAGCAACCAAGATTTATTAGGAGATCAATATCAAAAGATATACTGGTCCTTCATGAATCATATCGATCGTTAAAAGAAAAGACCAATAATAAAAAAGAGGATCAAATATTGTTTTTGAATACCAAATATTAATTTAATATGCTTAAACATGATGATATTGTTACCTTGAATGCAGTTCATTTATAATTTATCCGTAGATCAACTAAAATAGACGGAACAATTAATATATTGTATATATGAAACATACAAGAAATATGTTTATTTAAAAAATGTGCATATTTACAATAGATCAATTATATCTTTGAGGATCAAATTAATAATATTATCCCTTTTAGAAATAACCGTTAACTGGTATTTAAATTTAACTGTAGGTGCATTAAAACGTAATTGGCAATTTCCTTTGTATGATGGAAAAGCTGTGTTATCTTAAAATCACATGTTTCCTCAATTATTATATAAACTTGTGTAATGACCTTACTCATCCTAGAAGATTAAAGATAAGATAAAATTGTAACGTGATATCAGGACGTTTTTAATTGCAAACAATTCCTATTTCACTAGTTGGTTATAATTATTACTCCGAAGATCGAACACTTAGATAAAATTCCTTCGGTCCGGCTGGATTCGACTCAACGTCTTCCAGCAAACCGTGGCAGACGCCATGCCATCTAAGCCACGGAACAAACTAGCCGACCCTTACAAGTTTTTTTGTGTGCAGATCTTTGTTTTTAGTTTTTAACCAATTTTTGCCGTAGCGCCATCGGTGAGAAATCTCGTATCACTTTAGTTGGATTTTTAGAGATAATAAACTAAAGTTTACTGAATTACTAGTTTTTGATGAATAAAACTAGTGTTGTCTTAACGGATAAACTTCACTGACTCATCTAGTAGGTGATTAAATCTAGGTAGGATTTAATAACAGAAAGATTATAGAAGTATAAGACTTCATTCCTTCGATCTGACAGGACTCTTAACTGTATATTTTTTGCCAATCTAGGACAATCGCTCTACCAACTGAGCCAGAGATCGAGTCAGCGGACCTCACGAATTTCTATGTGTTTGTTGCAGATCTTAAGTTTATGGTTTTTTAAATGCCTTTTTGCCCTGAATAGACAGGATCGAGTCCTGTTAAATCGAAGGAATTTCTCTTTGTGTTCAATCTTTGTTATTAATAATCATAAGAAACTAGTGGCTTAATTTCACAAAAATATAAATGAATATCATGAATATCAAAAACAAATGAACCCCGACACCGATATACCGAAGAACGGAGCGGACGCCTCAGATAATTTAAATTTCAATTATCAACTAGAACACTTACATAACAGAATTGAAAAAAATTAAATATATAACAAAACTTTGCATAAGATAATAACAAATGTATATTAATATAGTATACATATATATTTCTAGTATCTAATCTATAATCTAAATATATAATAAGTACAATCAAGTATCACAGTGTTTCCCAAACATTGTTCTGCCACGGCCCGGTAATTTTCTTCGTGACCCACTCAATACTTTTAAACCCAAGCTGGTTAGGTACATTAAGTAAAATAATACACATATATGGTTAGTATAAAAGATGTTGCTAATATAATATAAATAATATAAAAAATTAAGAAATTTTAATTTACAAATCTGTAAGCACTGAATTGTACACTTACAATAAATTTTCTGCCTTTTGGTGTACATTTCATCGACACTTTGCTTAAAAGTGAAAAAAAAAAAACTTAAAAATAATAACGCACACACTCAACATAGCCCCGCACTACGGATACCCTGTGTCGCGGATGCCATGGACACACACATAGACGACCACAAATTACAACCAAACTCACGAGAGAAATAAATGTAGACCATTTAAATATTTCTCCCGGTCCGAGAATCGAACCTGGGACCTTTGCGTAGCGGTCCGGCATGGTAACCGTTCGGCCACGAGAGGCATTTAAAAAGATTCGCCATTATTGCCACATTTGGCAGATGGGTCGCATTTTCAGGAAAGTTATAATCTACACATAGTGGTACGCTTTTGTCCATTTACTAGTTTTATAGCTTAGTCGCTGTCTGCGACACCAGAAAAATATCAGAGTTGTTATTAGTGTAATGTAATGCTCGGCTTCAATAATAACTTATGTGTATATTTTTTCCAGGGGTTTCAGTTTCGTAGCTCCGTGCTTACTCAGCGATGACAATAACAAAACTGTTACAAACCAGAATCAAAACCATGTGACGCAAAACAATAAATCTTCCGCAGAAGAATTCTGGTCGGGCTTCGTCAATAGGAATCGTTTTTTTGACGAGTATAGGTAAGTTGCTAATATATTTACCCGAGAGACCTCTCTATACAACGTGATGTATAATTTGGCATTGTTTTATTGTTGTTATGTTTATTTTCAATACAGGAAAAATAGGGATATCTTTAAAACTTATTATTAAAACTCATAACCGTATTATTACAGTATTACCCTTATATTTGGCATTTGGTGTTCCGATGCAATTTGTCGATAACGCAAATCAACTTTAATTGGAACATGGTAGAGACTAAGACTAATTGTAGATCTTAGTGATCTTAACCCTTTTATGGACAGTAACAGCGTTTTACCGTAAAATTTAATATTAGAATATGATAGCACGGTGTACTCCGTTTCGGTATGGGGATGTGAAAAAACCAACTACGGGCTTTACAGTGTGATTTCCAAGTGATTTCTGTGTAGTTGCCGCTTACATCTTTCCCATAGAGAAGTATCAACAACGTACTGACAAAATTCAATGATTTATATGCATCGAACATTTTATATGGAATCAATGTAATCAGTACGGACGGCAAGGAAAGTATTTATTTATTAAATTATTTATTGCACAGGAAAACACAAATGACATTTAGTAAAACTGAAAACAAAAACAAAAGGTACTGCTTATTTCTTAAAGGAATTTCTTCCTGTAGACAAAAATACAGGACACAATAGTTACAATAATGGGTTTACGTGCACAACAAAACAAAATTAAATTATGTGATAAAATAATAAAAATAAACAATAGCAAAAATATTAAATTACTACAATCTATAGTCAGATAAATACATATTTCATATTATAATATCTGTAAAATTGATGGAACAGGAGGATAAATAGTACTGTTTAAGCACTATCCAGGAAAGGGTTAAGGACTTCTATTGCAAATGATATTTTGAAAAAGGAGATGATATAATCTGGTCCGATGCCCGTTTTATTGCAAAGGAGTTCCTATTAATAGTTATAAATATTACAGGTTAATGGGGGAATTGGGAACTGGTTCGTTCTCTGTCGTTCGCCTCTGCGAACATAAAACTTCCAGAGTTCAGTACGCTGCAAAGATCATGGATAAGCTTCAATATGATCCTAGGGAAGAAATTGAAATACTGTTAAGGTAAGTAGGTTTCAAACCAAACGGTTGTTCAATCCATTTGAAAGGTGACTCTAGAATCCAGTGAGCATAAATAATACTAGAGAAGCAATGTCCTAGAAACAGTTGTCTAAAATGTGGGACCACTTTTCAAATTTAAAGACTAGCTTTGAAACTGATTGAAATTTCAAAGAAAAACATATTTGTCTCGTTTTTTCTAATATCAAACCTATTATGTCAAAATGAAATAGTCATAGTGTATTAAGGGATACGACCAGTGTTACCGGTTTAGAAATAACTTTCTCTAATTTCGTGTAGCCTCACTGGTGGAAAGAGATAGTGGAGATAGATAGTAATCAGAAATGGAATGAACGAGTGTGTGAAATATACATGAAAATGTATGATCTTAAGAGTCCACGCTTGAAATTCATATTTCTTTGAAATAAATTGTAAATATGAAGAGATGACTTTCTAATTTAAGGAATTACTTGCTTTTCTCGTATTTTTTATTTATTGGATAAAGGTGATAAAAATACTGTCTTCCGACACAGTTTCTGCTTCTATTTAATGAAAACAAATTTATAAAAGAGTAGGTATTACAAATTACTTGATACACAAACATTTAACTATAGTTTATTACAAATTATTAAACGCCACTGTGCATCATTAGCTTGTTGTACAATTGCCTTGTGTTTTGTTACTTAAAGTATCTTTTCGTAAAAGTCGTAAAATTTTTATCCACTCCGCTCTGCGCATTTGATTTTTAAGTATCCTGGGAAACAAACAAAATATCATTTTTAATAGTATTACATGTTAATAGTATTACACTTTACGTTAAAACGTTACAACGAATAAACCTGAATTAGTAACTTCAAAAAAGTTAACTCCCAGTATTATTTTATTATTATTACTGGCAACATTGATGTTTAAAATAAGTTTATTTCATTTTTATTTACAACAACCCAAACAAACAAAAGCAAACTTACCTGTGGAAAGTAGCCTGAGCAATTTTATGATCACTTTCGAACCGAGAATTGGAAATTTTAATTACATATTTCATTGTTTTTGATACTTTTTTGTCACGTCTCGGTGACGTTGTAATCACTTACAGTTGTCTACAGGCAACAATGCCCTGGGTACCGCTTGGAGGCGCAGATTGCGCATCTATTGTTTACAAGTAATATAGTTTGGTCGGTAGTCTGTGAGGGATTTTACAGGAAAAGATTTTTGGTCGGTGACGACTGTAATGAACAAACAATGTAGAAAAGTTGACTTACTCGTAGATCGGGTGGAAGAATGGGTTAGAGCAGGGGTTCCCAAACTTATTTTGTCTACTTCCATTGTGTGCCACTACTGCCAATGTATTTTGTCAACGCTTAGATCGCAAATGCGGAACGGTGGTGCGTTCAAGATTTGGGCGTACTTAAGACGCAATGTCATCGTTGCGAACTTGTGGCCTTAGTTGAAATTTGTCCCTTTAAGAAGAGGGTTACCACCGTCTGCCGCTTTAGCCCAATGTGGATTGGGAATTTCAAAGATATTTGTGAACCTTCACCCATATGTAGGTATTACTGCGATATTTCTATTAATACATGTGATAATTAGTGAACACTCGTTCATACATCGTGGTATTATGTTATGTTTTGTTCTATATAGAGCTGTATACGGCTCACTGCTGGCACGGGTATCCCAGATTTGTTGACATTTTTCGGCTTACAAGAATAAACAGACTTTTCGTGGAAAAATTTTGTCGAGTTTAAACAAACTTCTGCAATAAATAAATATAGACTAGGAATGTTAGCTATTCGGAGTTTTCCGTTTAATCGATTTTTGCTCATATCATTTGTTGTTTGTATTTATATCAATTGTCTGTTGTAGTAGTATTTCGGTAACTTTAATTTGATAGCTCTGTAAATGGTTTATTGTGTAGGTAAATAACTTTTACACCGTCTATATTTGGTCGTATATTCTAATAAGATGAACTAAAATGCAGGAAATTATTTTTTTGTGAATATTATTTGTGGGTTTTTAACATATTTTACTGAAGTTTACTAACAATACTCATTGGTTTACCGGAGTTGACGAGTGTGCAGTTTACCATTGCCATATGCAGTGGTTTACCACAATTGACAATATACGGTAATTTACCATAGATGACAATACTTGTGATAATATTACAAAGGTCGAAAACTAAAAAAAAATCCCTTAATCCCGCTGGATTTGAACCAGCACCTTTAGCATACCGTACCTGATTTATAACACACTAGTGAAGTAATTTCACAAAAAAAATGGAATATCATGGTAGGAAAACATCGTGATATTCAATTATTCAATAAATTTATTAGTACAATATATTTGCGGGTCAAAAAAGTTTTCGATGTGTTCATGTCACAATTTCTTACAGGTACAGTCACCACCCGCATATAATAACGTTACGAGGCGTGTATGAAGAAGGCGGACGCATATTGGCAGTCACAGAACTGTGCCGTGGTGGAGAGCTCTTGGAGCACATTACGCAACGCCGTTATCTGCCTGAACACGAAGCTGCGCCTATTCTGCGCAATGTATTGCAAGCAGTACACTATTTGCACAGACATACAGTTGTGCACAGGTGTGCATTATTTAACACAACTTTTTTTGTATTATTGGTTAAAGGGAAGTAGTACATGCTTGTCCAATCTCACCTGATGATAAATGTCGATGTAGTCGAGGAGGAAACACGATTGCCTGGAAGATGCTTGTCGACTCTCACCTTTAAATTATTGTACTTTAATGCAATCGTTTATTGAACGACATTATAATTCGTATTTGCAATAATATGCTATTATGAACTTAATTTACATAGCTAGTGCACACACAAATTCGTATTTATTTTCAGGAATAACTATTTACATTTATTCTAAAAGTTTAATGAAATTCAGTAAAAAAATTATTTATTAGTTTTTTGTTTAATCATTTTGTAACAACAAACATTCTGAAATATTTCAGAGACATAAAACCATCGAATATTCTGTTCGCGACTGCTGAGAAGCGACCCGAAGATATTCGCTTAGTCGACTTCGGGCTGGCTAAGCAACTTCGGGCCGAGAACGGGCTTCTCATGACGCCCTGTTACACCGCCAATTTCGTCGCACCCGAAGTGCTTAAACGTGCGGGTTATGACGCCGCCTGTGACATATGGAGTTTAGGTATCTATGAAGCGAAGCGAAGAAAATGTCAAAATCACGCTCTAATTACTATATTATATACTGTTTACCAATAAGGATGAGTATTCAAATGCCATTAACGAATTTGCTCATTAAATACGTATAACCAAGTAAATACATTGTCATAATAATCATAATTTCGCATCATACAAATATCATATAATTTCTGCTATCTTTATACATGAAAGCATTGCACAAAAAAATACAGGAAATTTTGTTTAAAACTGAACTATACTAACGTGATCATTTTGCCATATTTATTTCCACTATAATCCCAAACGAAACCATAAAACAGTCCATTGAGCTTCTTGCTGCTGCATCCAAAGATTTATCTGACCCATTTATTTGAAAAACTGTTTAAAATCCTATTTATTGTTCCAAGACAAACTCGGGTTTCTTCGTTTAAGCTGGCTCTCAGAGTGTTTTATATCGGGGTTAACAATTTTGTTTATTATTTTAAAGCTTGTTAAGATTTTAAACTTATTACTACATAAGGAACAAAGCTAAGACAAGAAATAAAAAATATTAGAGCAATATAAAGAACGTTGCATCCAGTAATGTAGTGCCATCTTAGCTATTTCTGCCGACAAGTAGTAATGTTGTAATCATTATTGCGTTCCGGTTCTGAAGGATAAGGGTGCTGGTGAAATTACAGGCAAAAATGTATGGAAATATATGGAAAAAAAACTTGTCAACTTATGTCTCAGGTTAACGGGCGCGGTGGCAGTGCCCATCAGATCATTGCGATTTAAAGCGCAGAGTGACACTGCAACTGCGTGTCCATAACAGGCGTGCAGCTTAGTATTAGGTGCACGACTTTTTCGTTCCGCCACTTGGTATCATAAAAAAACAATCATCATCGGTTTAATGGACAATGAGCTTAACAGTCCAATGTAAACACTCATGGAGATGCATTTTCGGATTTGTTCTCTTGCCAGTTCCCTTCTCACGGTGCCTATGAATATACAGTGTGTTTTTTAATTGGGACAGTACGGGGAAATCCGAATCCATAGGAGATACAGGGAAACTGTCTTAGGAACCATTAGGTTTCTTTAATCAAAACAATTTTGACGTAGTAAATTTTTTGATTAAGCTTTAGTTGACATTATTTATTATGACAATATTTGTACGTTTTATAATTGAAGTCTTTTTTACAGGCGTTCTTGCGTACATCATGCTATCAGGTCGAACTCCCTTCGCGTCTACGGGAGATGACACGCCTGAAGCAATATTGGCCAGAATAGAGTCTGGAAAGGTAAATATCCCGACATGACATAATGACAGGGGTGTCGTATACCATCAGGCGCACGACTTGTTCGTCCCATCACTTAGTATATAGATTGATAATATTTTCATTTATATCTTTTATTCTGTATAGACCCTTAACAACAATTAATATTTGACCTTAGAGTATCTACTGTCTGTAGCATTCGAGCACTCTTTGTGAAAAAGTTCATCCAGGGAAGTACTGCCACCTTACCTATTTCTACCACCGTCAAATTATGTCTCAGGGTGACTGATGCAGTTTCAGTGCCCCTCAGAACTTTGCGATTTAAATCTCATGAGTGACCCTGCAACTGTTACGGATAGACGTGTCGCTTAACACTAGGCACACGACTTCTTCGTTCCGTCACCTACTGTTGTAAGTAAAGAATAACGGCTCTAGAGGTCGAAAAATACAACACGTTCTTCTACTTACATAATATTTACGAAATGAATAAATAATTTATTGTACTTCTCTTAATAATATATAATATCATTCATCATTATATCACTTGTTTCGTTTATTTGTTCTACTTAAGGGCATGAATTTCATTTTTTATGATACCAATTCATAGAATAATAAATACCCGAAGCACCTGAAATACCGAAAGTTGAAAATATACCGAATTTTCAACAGTTCGTGACGGTGTACGTATATGGAAGTAGACAATTGGAAACAATGTAAAATGTTGTAAAAAGAATGCTTTGCTTTGCTTGTGTTACTTTTTCTATTAATATTCTCTTTCGTTCTTAAGAGTTTTATTATTTCCTCGCTTTGAGAAAGGCCCTGTATATACCTTGGCGGGAACGGAGATTGGTCGCCTGACTGGTATAAATAATACAAAGTAACTCATACTCCTCCGGCAATCCTTTACTCTCGGATTTTTTAATAATTTACTATTTTCATAGCATTCATTGTGGTTACTGAAAAGTCCGATTTCCTATTGAGTACTTGAACTTTAATTTGATTGTAATCAAAATCTTGTATTACTATCTAGGTCGAGCTATCGAGCGGAATATGGCGCGGGGTGTCCAACGAGGCCAAAGGCTGCATTCGCCGTATGCTACAACTGGAACCAGCGCAGCGCCCGCGCGCCGCCGACCTCCTGCACGAGCCGTGGCTCAGCCACAGCGCCAATTCGCCCTTGCCAACTGTAGAACCTTTGGAAGATGATGCGCCGCCCCCAGCCGCTGATTTGAGACGAGCTGTAGATTTGACCTTCCAGGTATCGTGCAACAAGGTTTCTAGCGGCCGGTCACTCGATCATGCTTCCCTTCAAGTAAACTTGCACAAGCGAAATATTCTACTAACACTTCTATTTGTGCACAAGGCTTTATAAAGTAAAACGGTACACCGTACAAGTCGTTTACAAGATAAAACGTTCCTTCGTACTAATAATTTCAATACAAAAACTGCGCAAGTTTACTTGCGGTTAAGTTTACCCTTAAAGTCTCAGAGTCCAGTTTCCTCCTTCTTAATAACTATCGCTTCTAAATCAAACTTGTCGCTCTGTATCCAATTTTTGAATACATTTTAACCAGCAAATGTAAATCTTTCCAGGCAATGACATCTTCTCCCATGACGCCTCAAGTACTAGGCCCAGTGTCGCAGTCTACTCTTGCGCAGCGCCGCAGCAAGCCGCAGCGGCGGTTTCCCCCCACGCAACTCTGAACAACACAGGTATACGAACAAACATATTACGTAGAGCTTTGATACTGAACGAAGAACAGTACACGTAAATGTACGAATATATTCGACGATTCCTTTGTTGTTGACAGCGAAATGTAATTTGAACTTGGTTACTAAGTGCGTTTACACGAAACTGGAAGCTTTCATAAGTAGTCACTTAGCATTTTTATAAATACCAGACCGTTGTTAAGACATTCCATCTCTGGCATAATTATTAACATTGATAATATAGAGTACTTAATAAAATACGAAATAAAACTATTCTTCCGGATCTAAATCGCGATATTTTATTTACCTTCAGAGAGAGTTACGTCAAAAATGTTTATTGCTCCATTAGATAGAGAAAAATATAATCCACATCGTCTCCAATTCTTGTGACCCTATCTGCAATATTAGTCTATAGAATTACAAGAATTGGAGAGGATGTGGGTTATATTTTTCTGTGTCTAATGGAGCAATAAACGTTTTTGACCTAACTCCACTTATGTCATTCTTCCATGAGGGATGCGATATGTTCTTTGGTGAATTAAGAATTCCATTAAATTAACAGTTTTTGTAACTATGGTTCAGAATAACTGATTGATAACTATTATTATCTCAGTCAGCAGTGATCACGAGACTTGTAAACAGTCCGAAACGTTGGCTTCATTTGAAAAATAAATTTCGCGATTTAGACACGAAACAATAGTTTCATTTCCAATATTGATAATGGCAAACTGGAGAGAGTAAAACAAAATTGTCTTACATACTCTGCGGTGGAATTCGAGATCAAATATGTAAACAAAGGTGATACAAAACAAAAAACTATTTTACAAATAATGCAAATGTGATAAGGTCTAAAAAATGCATGACTTTTTATTTGATACTTTTGTGCATGTATATGCAAAGAGTTGTACTCTTTAAAGAGTGGATAATTTGGACCGTTCTTATCGCAAATGGCATAGAGTCAAATTTAAATCTTAAATATTAGGCTTAGGTACACGCTATTGACCCTGTACGAACAACATAGGTACTATCAAAACATTATTTTTTAAACACCCTTTTTAATTACATAAACTCATAGCTATAGATTCTTGTGCCAAAATTATTATTTATCCTAAGGCAATGTTTCGGGGATACACAATCTTTAGCTGTCCTTTTTATTTTTTTAAGTCTGTTTATTTAGGAACTTTTATTGGTTATTCTATAGCACATTTTTAAAACATTAAAGCTATGGAAATACTCAATGAAATAATCAATTAAACAGTAATGACATAAAGCAAAGAATAAAACACAATGTCACGAAAATATTTAGACAATATTTAAATGAGAGGTAATGACAATTGCAAAGGAACGTTATGGCAAGGAACCTCTTGCCAATGTCACATTGATATTGAGAACAGTGACCATTTGTGGCAGATTTCTGTCATTTGGGCAGTTTTAATTTTTATTCAAATTAAAGTTTTAATTTTAATTTTTTGCTGCAGAACATGATAAGTTATATTAAATATGGCAGGGAATATTCGGGAAGTTGTATATTATTTTTGGGAGCTTGTTATTTTCTGCTACTACGAACATACATCTGAAGCGAAATACAGGACAATGCTATAACTATAACCTATATCAATTTTTGTAACCCCAGCTTCTACAGGCTGTACTCAATTAGCTTTTTTTATGCTTTGATAATGAATCACAAGTATTGATAGGTCTCCTTAATGCGCCTCGTCAAAAATACTGGGTCGCAAAATACAGGGGATGTCGCCATCCTTCTTTTAAATAAAATTGCTTTGCCTCGATATAGAGGGATGTTATGACAAAAAACAATTCAAATTGCTTAACCCTACTGGATATTTATTTCATTATATTTATTAATTGAAACATCAGGCGCAGAAATTGAAAAAAAAAATTATGATTTATGCGATGTCACTTTGACAGTGATTGAGCGTTATTTGTTTACATTTGTGATCTCGAATTCCATCTCAGTTACAATGTCAAAGTTGTCTTCCTGCAAATATTATAGAGCTAGAACTTGTAAAATTTTGTGAATTTTTTGTTGCGTGCCCACCTATTTCTTTTAACTTTTGTAGTCCGCTTGTGCCATTGGATAGTTTTGCTTCTAAAATTAGTTTCTATTTTATTTATAATGTTTTAAAAATACAAGTATATTTTTAATATAAAAAAAATCGAAAATTGTATTATGAGATTTTATTTTTATACAGTATTACTCCTTCTTAGTGTGTTATTCATATCAAATAGATTCGTTTCATTTTTATTTTTGTAATCAAGATGGTGTTATATTTTTGTAAGTCAAGTATCCATTAGATTAAGCGTATTTTGATAAGTAGAATAAGTTAATAAAGATCCCTATGCTTTTGTAGAGTTTGGTAAACTTCTAAAGTACCTAGCAATGAATTAGGGATCTATTTATTATAATAGATACATTTCAAATCATGTACAATGAAGATACATTTCAAATCATGTACAATGATCAATATTTACATCTACGTATTTCAACATGGGGCCTAATTATGATAACAAGCAAGTCACAAATTTATTATTTAAATTTGGTAATTATTTTATTCATACTTATTTCACAAGTTAGTGTAATCTTTTAAGTAGTAGTAGAAAAAATCGACGTCTATTGTTTTAATTGCTTTAAATAAATATTTAAGTAAATATTCAATTGTAGTAAATGTGGTTTGTTAGTTATATGAATATAGTCATGAATGCTTTAGTATTTCTTCTATTAATCTGGTGCCATTCCTGTTTTATTTCTTTTTTTATCTAATAACGTGATCTCGAATTAATAGTTGTACATTAGACTTTTAAAGGCGTGTACAGTATATGAAATCAAACCACTTTTATTATGGGGTTTTCTCTAAAATAGCAGGGAAAAAACTTGTTTTATAAATTTGCCAAGTAGATTAAATACTTGATTATTTTTCGCAATTTCAAAAGGGTCTTAGTACGAGTGATTTGGACGATGTCAACTAATAAATTAGAATCTATATATCTGTGCATAATCAAGTCGCAATTGTATAATTTATGTTTTTGATAATATTATAGAAATGGTATAGGTTTTTGTTAAGAATTTGATATATCCAGGTATTTATGTTTGAAGTTTGCTATATGTTTATTTATAAGCAACATAACAATTAATTATTAGTGTTAATAAGACCTTAAACTGGGATTGGGTATATTGCCAAAGATTAACTATTTTAGTCAGAAGGTCCAACTTTCTTCTTTAACCGCCCTTTTTACTAACGAATCATTCTATTATTGTTTTAATAAAAGCATAATCAATGGGCATAATACATGCAAGTTATAATAATTTCTGTCTTTTACATACACATTTATAATAATATTTTAAATGTTGGGTACTACATATGTTTATCAATGAAAGGAATTGATTTTAAAACAAGATAGAATGTAATATTATAGTAATGGTTGTAGCTGTAATTATAGATAATGTATAATGACACAAAATAAAGGGAAACAACAAGTACATGTGACCTTCGTATGCAATATAAATCATGTTGATAATGTATGTAAAAAAAATCTTTAATTTACACACAATATAGTGAATTTGTAAATCATATCATGTGCGATGTCTATTATGTCTTGCTGGACAAAAACATAATGTGATGAATCATGGAAAATTCATATAAATTAAAAGAAATATATTATTATTTTATAATATCACATATTTGTAGATGAGGTACTGGTAAAGCTCGAGGTTGTTCGCTATTCGTCTTTAGGACGCTTCGTTCAAGGCATTGACAACAAAACAGTTCGAGTTAATTGTCCGGCGTATATACCAGCAGGTGTGATCTTGCACTGGATGTTATCATATAACATATTAATATAAAGTATCTAAAGATAGCAACAGGGGTGATATACCAGTCATGTTTAGCGAACAACCTAATAATTGCTCACACATTGAATATAGTACAAACTTGTTTGAAAATATAAAGTGGTAAAAAAATGCAAATCTTTCAAACAAAATGTATAGTATATTCAATTAGATTTTAGAGATTAGTATAAGAAAAAAAAGTGTCAACACATAAGTAATAATTCAATGATCCTCTGTCATTATCTCACCTTCCTATTTCAGTCTCCAATTTAAGATTTTTATTTGGGTTTTTTTTTCTGATTAACATCAAGGAACTTATTTTGTTGATTTGGCTATGTGCTTTACGAAAGGCTTTTAACATCTTATAGTTTAGAAATAGAGAAACAACTATAGAAATCTAAAGTTTCGAGATTTACTTAGGTTAATTACTTGTTGTGTTGCAAAATTGATACCTGTAAATACCTTTATAAAGACTAAACTAACGTTATATGAATTTTAGAAAGAGTTAAAACTATTAATCATAATAAATTAGCAATCCAAGTTCATTCAATATGAACAGAGCTTGTGCACACTTGTTGATTAATTGTAAAGAACTATTTTCATACTGGCTCACATCACTGCGCAATTGATGTTATGTAGAATTTTGTATGACACACTAAATCGTAGCTTTAGCTTACTATTCACAAATAGAGCTGTTACATTTTCTACAATATTGTCATAAGCAAAACCACAAATAATAGTGCAAAGAGAAAATTGTGGTTTTGTTATATTAGTATATGTCTATTTTTCTATTCTATTGTCTCTATGATGACGTATTGTACTAATGATACTGTTGTTTAAAAGAAGGAAATCATATTCATTTAGAGATAAATAATATTGTTGACATTGCTTACAAATTGTTTTATTTACATCTTCCAAATAATTTTATTAAGGACATAATGAGGACATGCTTTTAATTTCACAATTATTAAGTATAAAATATTACGTTATGTTTATCTTATTTGACACTGACACCTTTAAGAGTAGGTGCAACAATAACGCCCTTTCCTGGTATCTCTAATGGACTGCCTTTGTAGCAAGCTACTTTATCATCATTGGTCTTTAAATCTGGAGCGCAAGTTTCAAATATTTTCTTCTTAGGGTTGAGCTGAGTTTCTGGTTCTCTTGGGTACCCTTGACAAGATACCAAGTCTCCAGGTGTAGCACCATTAGGAGGTAGCAATACTTCTACTTTTTCTGGTGAAGAGGCACACATGACCATAGCTTCAGAAAGGACTCCCCTCATCTGCAAAAAAAAGTCATGGTGGTCAATGGGACATATAATAATAAAATAATCTAGATAGCAAAAAATTTTTCTTGCTCTTAGATGCATGAAATGACAAATGTATACATAGATAGAAGGTATAATACAGTATAACTATTTTCTTAATATTTCTGAATGCACCTGAATACAAGTTTCCATGACTAGTACTTGTTAGATTTATTATAGATAATAATATGAATTCAGACTTTGTTGTTTTGATTTCCTTGTCAATAATAATAATAAAATCGATTATTTTTCTCCCAACAAGTACAAGATTTAGGTAATATAAGTGAAAGTTTGGGAGACGAGCCCAAACTAGATTATCCCTGTGCCATGAGTTGGTAATAGGGATGACAAAAAGCAATAAAAAGAACAACTAAATTTTCATGGTTATGTAAGCATGTGTTTGCGTGTCCATCCGTACATGAGTCTTATGTAAAAGTTAACAAATTCTGTGCTTTTCTTTTAAACACTAAAAGTTAAATTAGTTCTTTTTTCCGGTTCTTAATCTTGACAATTTAGTCAGAATCTGAAGTTATTTTTTCATCTGATATGTTTTCATCAGTGTCAGCAATGTACAAATCAAACAATTTAAAAAATTAAATGTTCAAATCTTCCATACTTGGTTAAGTATGGAAGATTTGGTGGTCTATAAAATGTGAGATTTCACATTTTATAGACCACTAACTTGTTTAATACTTTACAGTAATAGTCTAAATTTATAACTGATTTTCAATGTACAGTGTTGTTTATTGGGACAGTATGGGAAAATCTGAACCTATAGGAGATACAGGGAAACTGTCTTACAAAACTATCAAGTACTTTTTGTGTAAACAATTTTGGCATGGTAAATTCTTTGGTCAAGTCTGAGTTCTACTTCTGATGACAGCAGAAACGCGATAATTAAATATGTTAAAATTAATAAATACATATCCAGCACAAACAAATTAATAAAGAAAAATGCAGCATTTTGTAAAAATATATCATTAAGAAAAGAACGTCAGAGTTTGTTGAATGAATTGAGTGATTGTACTCAAAATCTTAAGAAAAATAGGCTAAGCTATGAATGTGACACACAGCGCGTAATTCTGCCTGAATTACATAGTGTAACAAATTCATTAAAATTAATAACACAGAAATATGAAACTGCTCAACAGGAGATTATGGAGCACATACATAGGCTTTGGATAATTTATTATATTTACGTAAATAAAATAATGACAGATTTGTCTTTAACGAATAATCAAGTTTGCAATTGCAAAGAAATAATAACACAATCCTCCCTGTCTGTGTGTATCACTGATCCTCCCTTAATATTTTTACAGGAATCTTGTTTAGAATCTAAAAATACCTTCTTGTCAATAACTAGGTCAAACGAAAGTCAAAATAATATTGTTATGTATAGTGATGAAATGGGTAAAAATATAGGTTTGCAACTTAACCACCTAGGAATAAAATTAACAAATATTTGCATGCCAGGTCAACTAAATTTGACCAAGACACTACATTAATAATTTTAATTGGCAGAAGAGGAAAATGTAACAAAAAAGATTTAATACAATATTTTTCACAATTAAATAATTAATTTCATTAATATAGAATAAATTATTTTGATAGCTTTTCCCTTCAGCAATGTTTAATAATATAAAAATATAAAATTTCCCCTCATAACAAGTGAAAATAATATGAGGCATAACTTAAATAGAACATTACACAGCTTGACATTTCATTATAGTAAATTTCATTTTATGGATACTAATAATTTTATTAGTAAACATTTTTATTTGACTAAAGATAGGTATTATCTTACTAGTTATTTTAGGAGAAAGATAGCGGAGTTGCTATCATATTATATTAATTATTCAGCTAAATCGTTGGCTACCAGACCGGCAGCTTCTATTGAGCAGTCCATTGACATAGGTCAGTTTACTGACAATAATCAATCTGTTGAAAGTAATTCAATTTCCAATTATTTAAATTAACTACCAAAATATTCAAGGCATGAAAGGCAAAGAGTTAGGAATAGAATTATTTATTAAATGTAATAATATTGATATTCTTTGTATTACTGAGCACCACTTTTTATCTAAACATCAGTTCATGTTTAGTTTCAACAATCACCAAAGTGACTAGTTCGTTCAGCAGAGAAAAAGCTATTCGTGGCTGTTTAATTCTTATTAAAAATAATTAAAAATTGAAAGAACTTAGTGAGTATCTATTAAGCGGACTATAGCGATATCCTGCGTAGAGCTTTAACGGCTTGTTATATTAAGCGTGTGGGTCTGTACACGCCTCATTCATCTTACGAACTATTTGAAAAAAGATTACATGAAGTTTTAGGCAAATTAAATAATCCAAATAAATATATTGCTGTTTGTGGTGACTTCAATGTTAACTTATTAGAAGATTCCAGTGCCAGCAGTAGGCTCATATCATTTTTCCAATGTTATATATATAATCTTGTGAATCTTTTCTTGGTGTCTACTAGAATGACTTCTACTACGGCCACTTGTTTAGACAACATTTATACTAACGTCGTACCTAGTAATAAATCTATTATAAATAAATTAACTTCTGATCACTGCGGTCAATTGGCCACTTTTAATATAACTGTTGACAAAATGCCAAGAAAGGATATCACATGTGTTCCGATAAATAATAGTCGACTTAAAGCTTATAGAAATAGCGTAATGCTTAAACTAACCGACATTCCGTAGGTTAAGGATCCCAATAAATTGTATAATTCAGTTTTCAACATAGTGAAAAGTGAACGTGATAATGTTTTTAAGTCCAAAATCATAACCATTAATAATTCATTAAAATTTAGTGTTTGGGCGACAGTGGGAATTCACAAAAGTAGTCGAAGGCTGTATGATCTTTACGAAAGGATAGGTCCTTTCGTTGTAGGTAACACTAGTAACAGTTTTAATGATTTTGTTAGGAATCATTCGGAAATATTTAAACGTGTTTGTGTTGCAGCCAAAGCAATGTATAAATTAAATAATAAAATTAAAAGCAGCGCGAATGTAGTAAAAACGACTTGGAATATTATAAACAGCGAAACTGGAAGGATCAAACCTCGTGACTTAGATTTTCAACTAAGATTTAATGACAAAATTGTAAACACAGATGCAGAAGTTGCTAAAATATATAATTTTTTTTTTACTGACATTCCAATTTTGACTACTAAGTCGTTAAATTCATCTCCCACCGCCGCTGAATCCTTACTAAAAGAAAATAATTCAGTTAGTATAACTAATTTAAGGTTCCGTCATGTATTGCCAAACGACATTGTTAAAGTCATGTGTTGCCAAACGACATTGTTAAAGCCTTAAGTCTATAAGCATTAAAAATACTGCTGAACTTGATGGTCTTTCAGTCAGAGTAATTAGTTCTATAGTTGATTGTATTGCGCCTTACTTAGCATGTGTCTTTAATAAATGTGTTGATGATGGTGTCTTTCCTGACCTCATGAAGCAAAGTAAAGTTACTCCACTTTTCAAATCGGGTAGTATTTCAGAGCCCACCAATTTCAGACCTATATCAACACTACCAACTCTCAGTAAAATATTTGAAAAAAAAATATTCTAAATCAGATGTGTGCACATTTTTACAGTAATAACTTAATGTCTCCTAAACAATTTGGTTTCATTCGGGGTCGCTCTACAACCGATGCTGGTGTTGAGTTGATGAAACATATATTTGATGCATGGGAAGACTCACATGATGCTATTGGCGTATTCTGTGACCTTTCCACGGCGATTGTGTGCACCATGATACACTGGTCCGGAAACTTCACCATTATGGTGTGACGGGACGTAACCTCGACCTTTTTAAATCGTATTTGCGTGGTAGGGTACAGACGGTCGATGTTAACGGTACGAGATCATCAGGGTCCGCAATTAGCATGGGTGTCCCTCAAGGTTCAATTCTAGACCCATTTTTGTTTTTAGTTTATATTAATGACTTACCCTCATGGAGGGTATAAAACACGAGATAGTATTGATTGCTGATGATACTTCCTTATTATTTAAAGTTAAAAGGTATCAATGTTCCTATGACGATGTGAACAACGCTATATCTAAAGTAGTTGATTGGTTTGTAATCTACTCCTTAATGAGAAAAAAACAAATTGTGTGAAATTGACATTACCCAATGTTAGAGAGAAGGTTACAAACATTGTAGTTAGAAACGAAAAACTGAATCTTGTGGATACAGTTGTGTTTCTAGGTATAACGGCTCTGCAGTGCACGTGATTAAAAAAATACGGAAACTTTCAGACGTTGAAACCGCTAGATTGGTTTACTTCAGCTACTTTCACAGTCTAATGACATACAGCATTTTACTTTGGGGTAATGCCGCCGATATCAATAGAATCTTTGTCCTGCAGAAACTTGCAGTTAGGGCAGTTTACAATCTGGGCCCCAGAGTATCTTTGAGAGATAAGTTTAAGGAAATTAACATTCTTACACTAGCCTCACAGTACATTTATAAAAATGTAACTTATGTTAAGAGGAATAGTAATTTCTTTATGGAAAATAGTGACAGATATAACAGTAATACGAGGAATAAAAATAAACTAGCTGTTCTTGATAGTCGTCTTCACAAAGTCAAAAAATCATTTAAGGGGCAATGTATACGCTTCTATAACAAGATTCCAGTTGATATTAAAATTTGCCTTTCACGAGCTTTAAAACTATAGTGAAACAAAAACTTTATACTAAAGGTTATTATACAACTTCTGCGTACTTGGATGACAAAAATCCATGGTAGTAACCCATTTAGCTCATGGAGGTAGTCTCGATCTCTGATATTTCAAATAAAAAAAAATATATATTGTAAATGTTGAATGTATACAAATGTTATTTACTAAGAGCAACCCCTAGAGTTTCTTGCTCATTCTTCTCAGGGGAATCTACCTTACGAATGAACGGTAGAGTTTAACCAATGTGACGATTGCAAGTGTAATAATGCTTACCTATGAAATAAAGATTATTTTGAATTTGAATTTGAATTGCGAAAATATTAACGAAAAAGAAATGATATTAAGCAAATAGCTATATTGTATAAAATTAAAAGTAGAAAAAGTGCAAAAACAAATTAAAAATAGATTTAAAAGTTAAGAACATAAAACACAAATTACACGTACCTTAACAGGTTTTAAATTACATAGGATCATAACAAGCCTGTCCCTCATTTCTTCAATAGGTATATAGTTTACAAGACCTGACACAACAGTTCTAGGGTTTTCCTCTCCACAATCAATTTTTTCCACATACAAACTATCAGCATCAGGATGTTTGTTGATGTCTATAATTTTACCGATTCTGAAATCCAATTTTCTAACATCTACAATCGCAACTTCTGACGGGGCCCCAGCTGATTTGTCTTTACTCTTCTTTGATGCATTCTCCTTTTTCTCTTTTTTGGCAGCCGGTTCTTGTACCTGAGACTTCACTGGAGATGCACGTGTAGTAGTATTTTCGACAGCACTACAGGAGATTGATGCTTTGCCAGGTATGGGGTACTGCTTTTTACCATTGGAAGTTTCGAGTCCGATCAGTTCAGCCCTCGCTTTCTCCACTTTGCTGACAAGAATCTCATTTTCCTGAGTAAGTTTCTTTATGTTATTTTCGATCTGTACTTTTCTAACCTCTAATAACTGAAAATAGACAAAAAGGTCACTAACTGAAATATTTATTTAGTATCCAAAATTCATAATAATTATAACAAAATTATTTTCTAACTTTACTTTTCAGCAATAAAAGTTTTTTCTCTGCTACGTCAGCATTATTTAATAGTTTATTAATCACGTTTTGAGACATATTCTTGCAAAAGATTTGAGAAATCATGTAGGTTTAACAATCTCAAATAGAATAGATAGAATCACAAACAACAGACTGATAGAATATGGATTGAATCATAGATCATACACTCTATATTTGAGAATGATACCACCACGATACCACAAATCAGAAAGCTACAGTTTATTTATGTTGTAGGACTAGAATAATAACGCATAGAATGATAGTTTCATATCAAACGAACTGTCACAAGTGAGGCAAAAATCAAATTCATGTAGGCTAGTTTTAGTAGTAGGTTAATTTTCGGTTTTAGTGAATATTTATATAAAAATACAAGTTGAAACGCGTTACTTCCTTGTGGAATGTGATGTTAGTATCTATTTTTGCAAGTTGACCTTGAGCACTGACGGCCCGCCCGCTCGTGTAGGCCCATTGGGAGCGCTTCAATTTGTCTCACTTAGCGTGTGCGGACTAGGTTTCTATGCGTTATTATTCTAAGTTGTAGGAATGATACCACAAACACAAACTGAAATCTCTTTCAGTTTGGTGTGGTAGGTGACAAATGAAAAAAATCTCAGTGATCAGCCGTCAAATAGTATCACCATGTCTTTTTTTCCATCCTCTAAGCTTTTTACGAAGGAACGACGCGACGTTCCAAAAACTATCACCGTCACTCCCGTCACGGCATACGACGTACTATACAAACATAATCTCAGTACAGAGTACTAAAAAAACCGACCTCAAAAGTACGTGGAATTACATCTATTTGCCAAATTTTATTGAAACGTTCCCTAGTTCGCCGCTGTAAGGGACTTAACACAGGAGATAATGAAAATCGTTTCTCACTACTCAAAATATATTGAGAGAGAAAAACGCCTTTAATTGAAAACTTGCTTCTTATATAAAATAAAATTTAGGAGCTATTTATAAAAAATAATCTTCATTCGTGAACACCCACCCTTAGAGGTAGATGATTTTTTTCAAAATTAAATGCGACCACTGTGGAGGTACCTTCTTTCCAACAAAATAAGAATCATAAAAATCGGTTCACAAATACTAGAGTTATCGTGTAACATACGTACAAAAAAACATACAGTTGAATTGAGAACCTCCTCCCGTTTTTAAAGTCAGTTAAAAATCATGCGCGATTTCCGTTTTGTAAGACACTGGCGACTGCGCTACTCATTGTAGTTCGCATTGACTTAAAGTCAATGGCAGTTCGCTTTTATTTTTAAATTCTAATTTAAAAATAAAAACGAAAAAAAAACCAAGAAATAATTAGATCAGTGTAAATATCGCAAGGCAAGAATATTTCCACCATATCGCGAAAGAGGACAAGTATTTTCATCTTATCGGGAAAGCACGCGTCATGATGGGAAACAAGAACCCCACTATGTTGGGAAATAATCATAAGGTCGTGGAAAGTAGACAATGGTGTATAACCTCTACTATCATGTCGAAATACTTAGGAGGCACTTAGAAACTATACAACATACTCCTTGATTCCCGGATAATAATGTATTCGGCATACCTGGATTCTCCGTCTTGCTGGTGGCGTTTCAATATATCTGCTTCGGTATCAATGTTCAGGTTGTCTCAATCAGCTACCTGCTTCCACCTCCTGTATAGATTATAGCCAGGTGAGTAACCCTGATCATCCGTCTGACCTGGAGCAACACAAGACACCCAAGATACCTGCGGTGTGAAACTTCATCACTACGTTACGACACAAACACAATCATCGTGCCACTATGTTACGACACAAACACAATCATCGTGTCACTATGTTACGACACAAACGAAATCATCGTGTCACTATGTTACGACACAAACACAATCGTCGTGTTACTATGTTACGACACAAACAATCATCGTGTCACTATGTTACGACACAAAACAGACCATACACTTCCTAACTCTTCTAGGGGCGAAGACTTAATGGACGTCCCCTATGCCTGTACGCTAAACACATATGCTTGGTCAAGAGATCACGCCAAGACTCTAAACGTTCCCAGATCTCGACTCACATAGTCAGAGGCGAGATGTCCAACCTGGGATGGCACAAGAGCGGTAGTTCGAGTACTTCACACCAGTCGAAATACGATTGGTATACCAGTCGAAATATAACTCCCATACCGTGCGTGTGGGCACACATTCGAACTGTATCCACTATGATGATTGGTACAAACAACTAAGTATGCCAATTTAGTACAGATGCGAAGGGGAAATATAATTTAGATCACCGAAGAGACCATATACAATATAAGATACTCATTTAGGGCACATCGATGCTAAGAATAATCAGAAACTCTAAAACTGAACTTCGACACACGCGACTCCGACGATATGTTACATCGAAATGATTTTACTCAGACATTACATTACTCCGACAATACGTTACATCGACATTATTTTACGCAGACACTACGCTACTCCGACAACATGTTACATCGACATGATTTTACTCAGACACTACGCTACATCGACAACACAGACAAGGTATTTATTAAAAAAAATCTTTGTACTCTGATAAGAAAAATCATCATTACAAACCCACGTAGGAAATAATTTCTTATATCGATCACTATGACAAAAAAGGACAACATTATGTGATCGGAAATTTATTGTATTAAAATACAGAGTTTTTTTAAAACGGGACAGTATGAGGAAATCCGAAACCATAGAAGATACAACGAAACTATCTTAGGAACCATAAAGTTGTCTTTTTTGGGGAAACAATTTTGGCATAGTAAATTTTTTGGTCAAGAGTGAATTGTCCATAAAAACCATTGACTTGTAAGTCAATGATAAAAACAAATAAAATTGATTAAAATCTTTTTTAGTGCTGATCGACTCAGAGTTATGAAGGGATCATTTCATTGTATG